AGCACATGTGGATTTTATTACTGAGATACGACCCAGGTACGCACACAGACTGCAGGGTTTTTGTGTAGCATGTAGTATATGTGCGGTTTTTGTGCTCTGCATGGTGTGTATGGTGTGTGTTGTAGTGATGTGTCAGTGTGTGTATGATGCATGTGGTGTGTGTTGTGTGTCAGCGTGTGTATGATGTCTACAGTGGTGTGTGTTGTAGTGATGTGTGTGTTGTGTGTTGTAGTGTTGTCAGTGTGTGTATGATGTCTACTGTGGTATGTGTGTAGTGTTGTGTCAGTGTGTGTGTGGTGTGTGTGTTGTACTGTTGATGTCAGTGTGTGTGTGGTATGTGTTGTAGTGTGTCAGTGCGTGTATAGTGTGTGTCTGGTGGTGTGTGTGTGTTATGTGTAGTGTGTGGTGTGGTAGATGTGTTTGTGTGCATGTGCTGTGTGGTTTGAGAGTCTGTGGTGTGGAGTGTGGTGAGTGTAGTGTGTTGGTAAGTGGTGAATGTGTCTGGTGTGATGTGTAATGTATGTGCTATGTGTCTGTGTGATATGTGCTGTGTGTCTGCATGTCTCCAGTTTAAACTATTCATGTCTTTATTTTGTGATATGCTGTTGTTTTAAAAAGATCATCCTCAGGACTGTTTTAACCAGTAATGATATAACTTGTCATAAACAAGTTGTGTGTTAATAAAATTCTCTCGACAATGGCCAACAGCTGTAAGCTTTGTAAGTCACCAGGACAGCCATTTTCTTCACATACCAGCAGGTCAGGGAACTTTTCAACATCATCTTACATCGTGGCCCTGGAACTCCTCAAGCTCTGTATTCCAGCCAGAACAGGTTTCTTTTCACATGCACTGGGCTTTCTCACCACATCTCTTCATGGAACCAGGCTTTTCTTCAGCCCTCTCTACTCTTCCTTTCTCACCACCTCCTAGCCTCCAGTCCTGTCAGGCCTGTGTCCCTGGTCCTATGGGCAACCTGCAAAGTTCCTTTCTTGTCCTTCCCAGTAGGATTGCAGGTTCTTGTAGGTCTGGTCACCCCCTCCTGGTATCATGTTGGCATGCAATACTACAAAACACATGATGCAGATTTACAGGAAGAACTCCTTGAATCACAAGCTGCTTTCCTGAATCTGACATCAGAATCAAGAACAGTGACCACTTCCTTGGCTGATAACAAGGATATGTCTGCTTAGCAAATTTCATTTTATACATTTAGACAGACATCAGGTAACCAGCTAGAGAAAAGTCTTCTGAGCTGGCTTCACTCTGGTACTAACCTTTCAGGTGATCAGCTACCCTTATCCACAGACTTGCTGTTTTTGCAAAGCTGTCCTGCAGCGCTTGCAACCACAAGTCATCATTGTGGCCTGCAGACAGTCGGGCAGGACACTGGCTTCTAGGAAGAGGTATATAAGTAGCTATCACATCCAGATGGTATGGCTGGCTTGAGCCACTTTTCAGTCCTGTTGGCCTGCAGTTTCAGGATGGCAGGCGAGCAAGGGACCTGGTCAGCTTTCCAGGGTTCCTGTGGCCAATCAGAACTTCATCAGCTTAACACCCCACCAGGGGTATTGTCCCTGAGAAACTGCCCACTCACCCACAAGGCCCAGGCTGACATTCCTGAGTGTCCTTAGCTATGCTGTCCTCTTGGCTCATCCCAGTATGACCAATGTGATAGGTGCTCATTTCCTCAAGTCTCAAACCCAGGTCCCTGCTGGACAACTCCCGGGAAAGCAGACAGAGTGATCCTGGATTCCGGTGTGAAAATGTGAAGTGCCCAAATCACATGACCTAACTTTGATCAACTCAATAAGTCAATTTTAATAACTAATAAAGGAAACACACTGGAAATAACATATCACATCTCAGTTGCAAGAAGAGCTCCAGCAAAGTTCAGCCATCAGCACATGGATACAGAGGCATGCAACCTGCTGCAGACTCTAGGTTCTTGGGTGACCACATCTCCTGAGAGCTTGCCTTTGCCTGGAAGCTCCACAGGGAAGTCACTTGAGTGCCAGGTGATGAAGAGGCCATGTGGTTCAGGTATAAACTCTGTGATCTCGCTCAGGTAGTTTGCTCTTACTGGTCTCATTTTTTCACATCAGTTAAGTTTCACAAAGTTAAAAATGGGTAAGCCAGCAGAAACCCAGATTTTTAATTAACAAACTTTCATTTATCAAGCATTGCCTAGCATCTGCCCTCAATTTCTCAAAAGTACAGGCATGACTTCTCTTACCCAGACAGCCAATGTGCAGTCATCAAATCATTTAGGGAGGTGGCACAAAGGGATGTAATATCCCATCCTATTGGATAATAAAACACCAAGCCCTGACAGCTCCAACTTAGGGTGAGTTGGCCCTTATCTGAATTTCCCACCCCAAGCCTCGAGGGGTATTTCTGCTTTGCTAATAAATCCTCCTACTCTTTGTGGTTCTTTTGCTACACCTGCAGCAGTGTCCTAATCTTAAACACAGTACCCAAGAACCAAGGAGCATCTGAAACACCCCAACCACTGGCAACAGAGGAGAAGAATGGCACTCCCCCAAATATGCACACCTAACCTCTGAACCTGGGAACGTGTTATCTCATGATGCAAGATGAACTTTACAAAGCTGACCTGGTTAAGGATTTTTTTCCTGTGGTATTGGGGTTCAAACTCAGGTCCTACACCTTGAGCCCTCCACTAGCCTTTTTTTGTGATGAGTTTTTTTCAAGATAGGGTCTCGTGAATTATCTGCCTGGGCTGGCTTCGAATTGAGATCCTCCTGATCTCTGCCTCCCGAGTAGCTAGGATTACAGGCGTGAGCCACCAGCACCTGGCTCTGGTTAAGGATTTTAAACAGGAAACTATCCTAGGTTATCTAGGGAAGTACCACATAACCACAAGTATCCTTATCAGTGAAAGAGAGAGGCGGAAGGGTCAGAGTTCAAGAGATCTGAATATCTACTCTGTTGCTTTGAAGATGCAGGAAGGTTCAATGGATCAACGGCTGCAACCGTTGTTCAACCTCCAGAGGTTGAACAAGGCAAGCACCTGGAAAACTGTCCTGCCCAAACCTCAGTAGCCTAGTGAGACCTATTTCAAGTAATGCCTGGAGATCAGGAAACAAAATAGGAACAAGTGTTTAAATGCGCAACGGTGGTGTGACTAACAGAGGAAATACGATTTATTTTCCTGTCCTCACATTGTCCCCTAGTATTTGCCTTCAAGGAACATAAAGACTAAAGGGCAGATAAAGACAAGTAAACAGAACAACCAAACAGTGTTTCTATGAAGAAGGTACAGGATGTTATTAAAGGAGAATGACTTGAGAAGCTCAGTGCATGTGAAGACTGCCCCATGTTATATAACAAGACTTTGTCAATCACACCTGCAAATCACTCTAGCCCCTCCTGCAAAGACCTCCCAGATTTTTCCTGCCATTTGCCCCATGACCTATAAATTGCCCTTTAAACAAAGACGGGGTCTTCTGTGCCATCTGGCCAGAGTCCACTGGTCTATCTTGGCTGTATATCTTCCTGTCTATACTTTTCCTTTCAATAAAATTTTGCTGCTGCTTTGCAATCTGTGTGTCTCCATCCAGTTCTTTGGGAGATACAAGAAACGGAGGTCTTCTGAGATCACCCACTAGTAACATCACCTGAGACAGGGAGAGAATGAACTCTCTTAGTCTTCCTTTTTGCTCTATCCTGGCCTTTAATGGATTAGATGAGGCCCACCCACATAAGGATGCTCAAATGTTAACTATCCAGAAACCCTCCCACACCCATCTAGGGTAATGTTTGGCTAAATATCTGAGCATCCAATGACCCAGTCCTTGGGGATCAGAGCCACGTAGTCACCAGGGTGTAAAGGATTGGTTTGCATTGCGCCATAACCCAACCTAATCTGATGGATATAAGAAAACATTGTTCAGTCATTCAAAAAAAAACAAAGTGGGTTGTGAGGGGAAAGTAAGGTACCATACTGAGCAAAGCAAGTCTCAAAATAATCTGAGTGCATCGTTTCACTTTTTTGTGTGTGTGTGTAGAAAAGGAGATATGCTTTTAATTATGCACATATGCAAAATACAAAAGGAACAGAAAATACCGTCCAACAGTTGCAGTCTGTTCCTAGGAAGACAAGGAAGTAGGGAGGTTTCCTTGCTCCTTCATTGTTGGCATCTTTGCAGAGAGAGTGCATTCACGTGTAACTCCTACAAGATGAAACCTAAGGACGCAATACGCAGTGATTGTACAGGAAGACCATTAAATGAATAGAAGCAAGTGTGAATGGGGCTGAAAGCACACCTTGCCACGTGCCTGCCCCAAGTTGATGAGCACAACTGGTCACAGGAGTGGAAGAGAAGGAACAGGACTTCAAAACAGAAAAGGGTGAGAGCAGAATTTGAGTGGGTGTGATTCTTCATGGGAACTTTTTTTGTTTTGTTTTTTTGGAAGATAGAGAAAGAGGATTTATTATATGGCTCGGGACGTGCCGTGGGAAGAGGCAGACAGAGTAAGCGGTCAGCTCATCTTCACTTCAACCATCTTCATTAAAATGATTCTTTTCTTTTCTTTTTTGGCGGCACTGGGGTTTGAAATCAGGACCTCGCGCTTGCAAGGCAGGCGCTTTTACCGCTTGAGCTACTCCGCTAGCCCGGTGCATGGGAACTTTTGTGCTCTTGGCTTCTCTGCGCTTTCTTTTTCGGGCTTCTCTTATGTATAGCAGTTACACTCACTTTAGATGGTAATACGTGTGCATGGAGTGACACTCAAAGAGCACAAAACCATACCCAGAGAAGCGTCCTTTCACGCCTTCCCCGGCTCTGCTTCCAGCTTACCTCCTAGAGGGAGGCTACCACTAGGTGGCGTGTCTGTACGGGGAGGGACGGCCGGAACCCACGGCCACGGAACGACCCGGAACCAGCCACACGGGGCACACCAGGGAGGACGCTTTTTGCAACGGACTTCCGGGGGGTAACCTCTCGAAGCGGAAGTGCCGTGTGGCGGGGCCCGGGGTGCGGCGCGGGGCGGCGGTGTCGGGCTCGGGTCTGCGGGTACCCCGAGGAGTGCAGCAGCGGCGGGTGCTCGTCCCGGCCGCGCGGCCATGAACCTGGAGCCGCTGCGGAAGCGCGTCCGGCAGTATCTGGACCAGGTGCGTGGCGGGCCGGGCATGGGGCAGCTGGTCGCGGCGGTGGAGGGGCCCGTGGCCCCGCGGGGAGGAGGGCGCGGGCGGTGGACTGGGGCGCGCGAGGCGACACGTACGGAGGCCTCGCTGGGAGTAGAGCCATGCGTGGCCTTGGAGTTTGGTTTAGTTGGGATTCTTATTTGGCCGAATGCACGTTTATAAAGACACAGACAAGCTTGTCTTCAGTCAATGCTTTAAAAATCTACCCTTGAGTGGACAGCTAGGAGTGTGTAAGGAAAGACGGGCCTCCGAGTCCGTGTCAGTGTGATGCTTAGCTTTTGCTGAAACGCTTGCTTGCCCAGTAAATGGGAGACGGAGAAAGGGAAAGCGAGGCCCGTGCGCACATTCGGGTTGACGGCTGGAGACGCGGAGGGCCGGGCTCGCCCTCGGTGTAGTGCACCTGTGGAGCAGATGTGCTCGCCCCGAGGCTTTCCTCCTGCTCGTCAGTCCCGCAGACCCGTCCTGGCTTGCATCCAGAGGAACCGAGGCAAAGGTTGTAGAGAGACTAGATGTGAGAATCAAAGACTCAACAATAGCCTTTAGAGTGATTTCGGCTTGTCAGCCTTATTTTTCCTAGGGTTAGCTAGAGTAGGTGACTTTCCCCGCGGCTAGTGACAGTTAATGTATATGTGTGTGTGTTTAATTTGAGTGTTAGTAAAATTGCATTTGAGGTATTTGAGTATAGTGCTCTACTAAACTCCACTTAGGGGTTTACTAACAGCTTATTGAAATAAACTAGGAAGTGCTAATGACTAGACATTGCAAAATAATCATTTAAATTATCCATTGTTGTAGACACTTGCTGATACATTTTTTTGCAGTGGATGAGTTTTTTTTGTTTTGTTTTGTTTTTAAATCTTTTGGCGGTACTGGAGTTTGAACACAAACTCACTCTTGCTAGGCAGGCACTCTTACCGATTCAACTCTTGCAGTGGATGAGTTTTCAAAAGGAAAAAAAAAAAACCCAAAAACCACTTCTTTGGGCTAGGGGTGTAATTCGTTGGTAGAGCACCTGCCTACCATGCTCAGGGCCCTGGGTTGTATCCCCAGCACACACACACAAAAAAAACAAAAAAACCCAAAACTATCTTTGTGAGTTTTATGTACAAAGATCTTACAACAGTGTTTTTACCGGACCACTGAACTAAAACACTAGTTGAGCTATAAGGTAAAGATGGTTGAAAGGAATCCTACTACATATAAAGACTTACTGATATTATATGTGTCTCTAATAAGAGGAGACATCTGTTCAGAACTGTGGGAGCAACAGGGCAGTCACCCCTCCCTTTTTTTTTTTTTTTTTTTTTTAATGCAGCAGCAGTATCAAAGTGCTCTGTTTTGGGCAGACAAAGTAGCTTCGCTCTCTCATGGTGAGTGACAAATGCTATTTTTTTTCTAATCAATCTTTAAAAATCTATTTTACCTTGCACCTCTAACCATTTGTGTAATTTTACCCTATAGAGGATCCCCAAGACGTTTATTGGTTGGCTCAGTGTCTTTACCTGACAGCACAGTATCATAGAGCAGCCCATGCACTTCGGTCACGGAAGCTGGACAAAGTAAGTACAGTGTTTGTGTGAACTTCAGAGCTCTCAAAACTGTGAAAAAGTCATTACATTGGTATTTTAGGTGTATGTTTTATTTATGTCAAAGTTATTTTTAAAAATTCAAATTTTCTTGTTTTTTTCTTTTACTTTTTGGTGGTACTGGAATTTGAACTCTGGGCCTCACACCTGCTAATAAAAATTCAAATTTTCCTTAGTATAAAGAGAAAATTTCTTATTCCTAATCATAGTCACTTTGTTCTCCCTGACTCCCCTGATCCCATCTAGTCACTAAGTTCTGAAAATTCTGTTTTTGGTATTTGTTTGCTTGTTTTTAGATGGGGGTCTCACTATGTTGCATAGGCTGCTCTTGAGCCCTTGGGCTCAAGTGATCTTTCTGACTTAGCCTCCAGAGTAGCTGGGACTATAAGTGCACACCACCACAGCAGGCCTGAAAACTCTGTTTCTGTGTAACTCTGAAATTGTGAGAGTTCTTTTCCATTTCTTGCCACTCACAAACCTTCCCACCTGGCTTCTGTCCAGTGCATCTTGCAAACTATCACAAGTGAGGGTTTCCTAAAACACAGTTTTGATTATATCTCTCACAAAATCTTCAGTGATTTCATTTTACCTACGGTATATCTCCCACAAAATCTTCAGTGATTTCATTTTACCTATGGGATAAAATCAGTTGTGTTAATGTACATCCAAGGCCCCCCTCCACCAGTGATATGTGCAGCTATGCTGTGCTCCTTTCATTTTCTGGACAGGCTCCACTACACTGTCTGTCCAGCTCCTCACTGGCCTGAAGATGCTTATTTCTGAGCTGCTTATGCCCTCCTCTCATAGTATGTTGTGCAGACTTATGTCCCCTGCTGTGGCCTCCTGAGGCATCCTTGGTGCATGGTAAATGGTTGTTTTGTCGTGAATATGAATTGAAAAGACTGGGATTTTTTACTGCAAGAATAAGAGGGGAAATTAGGATAGTAGCTCTCTTCATTTCATGCTTACAGTTTTCTTTTAAAATGAAGATGTGAATTATATTGACCTCTTTTTAATAACTTGTTTTCTAGTTGTATGAAGCTTGTCGCTACCTTGCAGCCAGATGCCACGTAAGTATGCTTGGTTTTCTTTTTACTTGGTGAGTGTTTGACTGTGAGCCTATGCATACCTCCTATATGCTACAGTTTGCTGATAGAGCTTGGACACTAAAGGAATGTCCTTTAGTGTCATTTCTGTAAAACAGTGACAGTTCATTTAGTAAAAGCTGACATGCATGAGAAAGTTATGTCTTAGACATTTTAAGTTTAAGTGATGAGTATACTATTTTTTAAAACCTAGCTATCATGGGTGATGGATGGTATTTCTGTTTTCTACATAGTATGCTGCAAAAGAGCACCAGCAGGCTCTTGATATTCTTGATATGGAAGAACCAATCAACAAAAGGCTATTTGAAAAATACTTGAAGGATGAAAGTGGCTTGAAAGATTCCTCCTGTGACTGGGAAATGTCACAGTCCTCAGTGAGTGATATTGTTAATGTGCTTCAGTAACAGCAATGGGAAATGCCCAAATTACATGGCAAAAATAAATCACCTTCTTTTACATGTGTATTATGTATTAAAATAATTATAGTTGCCAACTTATTCAACTTGCCTACCAAGAACCAAAGATTCTGAGACATTTCTCTGTGAGCTATCAGTTGGAAGCTCTAATATCCTCTGAGACTGTATCTCAAATCAATCCTCCCTTCCTAGGGTCTTTCCTTCTTTCCTTCTTCCCTTTCTCCCTTTCTTCCTTCCTTCCCACATTAAATTTTTTTTTTTTGCTAAGAAATGCACATATGAGGGCTCAAGAGTAGATTGTCTGCCTAGCAATTGCAGGCCCTGACTTCAAATCCCAAATGAGGGAGCTTGTGTAATAAATGCATTATTATGAAATTATTATTTTGTTTTTAGAACTCATAAAACCTTGCCTAGGTCTTAGATTCTCTCAGTATTCATTAATTAACTAATTAATTAATTTTTGTGGTAACAGGGTTTGAACTCTCACTTGAGTTATGCCCCCATTTTTTTTGTTTGTTTTTAGTTTGTGTTTGCCTGGGCCAACCTCCAACTAGATCCTCCTATCTCCACCTTCCCAGTAGCTAGGACCACAGGTGTGCTCCATCAGCTTGTTTTGTGAGATAAGGTCTCACTAACTTTTGCCCAGGCTCGTATTGAGTCACTATTCTCATGTCTCCACCTCTTGAGTAGCTGGGATTACAGGAGTATTACCACCAGGCTTGGCCAGATTTTTAAGTTTTGACTTACGAATTTCCTTCCATCTCCTTAATGATTTTAGCTGCTCATTTGTGGATCTTCTTGAACCCAGTGATGTTTCTTACAGTTTAAGGTCTGGAATGTGAGTCAGATTCCACATGCCATGTTGTTAGTGATGGTAGCAAGATGGCCCAGTACCATACAGGTACTCATGTCTCCAGTCCTTATAGAGTTCTTTCTCCCTGTTTTTTTTAGAAGTGAGGAACAAAACCTGAGACCAAGACAGGTTAAATCGTCATCCAAGGTCATATATAAGTCTCAGGGCCAGAATTTGAACTCAAGTCTGTGGACTCCAAACAAGCCATGCTCCTAACCTGTGACTAGGGGTTGCCTTGCTACCAGTCTAATTCTAGGACTCTCTTATTGGATCTGACTGTCAAACTCTAAGTTAGAGTTTGATTTTACACATACCCTGTCTGTGTCTCTAAATCATTACCTTGCTTGGGGCAAAACAAGTAATGCACCCAGGAACCTCAACCTGTGTATTAGTGATAAAAGTCTGTGAAAGAAGCTTAGCTTTGCCTTTTTGTCTCTGTTAATGCATACTGTACTTGATAGTTGGGATGAGTTTGTAGACATAGTAAAGACTTCTTGACATTCTAATAATACATGGTTTTTGATCAAAAATTAAGTTTAAAATACATATATACAATGGAGTATTATTCAGCCATAAAGAAGTATGAAATTATGTCATTTGTAGGAAAATAGATGAACCTGGAGATAATCAACACATGATGCTCAGAAAGACAATATCACACTTTTGCTCAAACATGTAGAAGGGGGATTATTGGGGGGGACAGTGGGTAAGAAGAGGGAGAAAAGGGAGGAGGTGGTTAATATTATAGAAGTACATTATATGTATGAAAATAGCACAGTGAAACTCACCCAAATATGTTTAAAAGGAGTGGGGGGGAGGAGAGAGGGTAGTTAAGAATGAGTAGAATAGATGGGATGAATTCATCAAAGTACCTTGTATGCATGTTGTAAATATCACCACGAAATGCCATTGTACTATTTATGCTAGTAAAAAAACTAAAATTTTTAAAGTAGAAGTTTAAAAGTTTTGACAAGGCTCATACTTTTCCAACAGATAAAGAGTTCTATTTGTCTTCTACGAGGGAAGATCTATGATGCTCTAGATAACCGAACCCTAGCTACCTACAGTTACAAAGAAGCTTTGAAGCTTGATGTCTACTGTTTTGAAGCATTTGACCTTTTAACATCACACCACATGTTGACAGCACAAGAAGGTTAGGAAACGTCAGATGTTTTTATGTTTAGCACTGTTGTCTGTCTTTTCCTCTAAAATCTATATAATCAAGAACAGACTGTACAGATTTAAGTAGACTGTACTAACTCTCTTAATGTCTTCAAATATGAAACATATTGCAAAACATAATGGAGTCTGTTTTGCTGTCAGAATCTTTAGGGATTGTGATATCACGAGGTCATCTTTTTGAGACATAATTTGAGGTAGTATTAAACCAAGATTTCAATAATTTGATTCAGTGATTCACAACTGGAGGTAGCTTTTTCCTCGCTCCCTTGTTATTACCGAACCTAACTGAGCCTAACTGGGCGGCAACTGAAGATGCAGAAAGGATGCAGGATAGACAGACAGACAGAAAGTAGGGGCCAGGTGTGTTGGGTACTTGGGTGGAGACTCACAACCCTCATTACTGCTTTTCTCTATTATTCGCTTCTTTTTACTCTGCTTCTTATCTCTGTCTTTATTCTTTAAGGCCTTACTCCTTTACAGTTCTTTAAAACCTTGCTTCTAAAGTCTTTCCTTTAAATCTTGCTTTTAAAGTCTTCTTTTCTGTTCTTTAATGTCTCTTTCCTTAGACTTGCACTATCCCATGTTTTCTCTTAGATGTTCTTTAGCATAATCTCTCTTAAAGTCTTTGCCCCCAGACTTGCAATGTCCCATGCTTTCTCTTTAGCTTTTTTAAAGCCTTGGTGCTCAGACTTGCACTGTCCCATGTTCTCTTTAGCGTTTCTTTAGCTTAGCTTTTCTAAAGCCTATGTATAAAGTTCTCAGTGCAGACTTTCTATCTATTTAGCAATTCCCCTTTAGCAGTTCTTTTCCCTTCAGCAATCCAGTCTCCCTCCAGCAATTCATTTCCCTTCAGCAATCCTTTTCCCTTCAACAATTCTTTTCCTTTCAACAATTCTTTTCCCTTCAGCAATCCTTTTCCCTTTCTTTAGCCTCCCACATCCAGAAAGCCTCCCTTTATCCAAAAGCCTAAAAGCCCAAAACAAAAAGCCCCCCTCCACACACACTTCAGTGAGTCTTATATCCAGTGGTAAATGGGGTGGAGCAGCAGTTCTCCGGGACAGACGTGACATTGTAACAGGAGAAACCTTCTAACTTCCTGCTTCTCTGAACATAAACAACTTAGGAAAAGCAGCTGTTCTGCATTTTCCTCTTCTGTGGCCAGGGCTGTGCCAGTCTCAGCTTACAGATAAACATCTTAGGAAAAGCAGCTGCATCTGGCCTTGCTTATGTCCAGTTCTCATAGCCTTCTCAGAATCTGCTCTCTACACTCAACCTAGCCATATTTTAAATCCCCAAGGACTTGTGTGTCCAGATCCAACCTCAGATGGGTTCAGTCAGAATCTCAGGAGGTGGGGCCCTGATGTTAGATGATTTAAATCTCCCAAGTGATTCTAATGTACCTCAGGAACTGAGCTCCACTGACAACCAGGTTTGTTGGCAATGGGGTAAGCAAGAGAATAGAGAGGAAGTAGGGTTATTGTAGTAATGGGATTCATGCATATTTTAGTCTAGTGCAGTGGTTCTTGACCACTGGGGTCTTGCAATGGCTAGAGACTTTGGTTGTCATAACGTTGGGGCAGGGAGAAGGATGGGAAATTGCTGCTGGCATATAGCAGGTAGAGGTGGAAGGTCCTGCTAATCACTCTGCTGTGTACAAGACACCTCCCGGCAGAGAGCAGTCCACACAGTGTCATAGTCCGGAGGCTTGTGGTTCTCTGGCTGATGACAGGGATCGTCTAGAATCTTCCTGGCCCAACCCTCCCACTGGGAACCAGTGTCAGCTTTCTCTAGTACATTTTGATCTTATTCCTCTTGAGTCAGTTTACTTAGACCAAGAACTATAGAAGGTATTTTTAGTTGCTGACTGTTTTCCCACAAATATGATGAATACATTTTTTTTCTCACTGTTTTTAAGAAAAAGAACTTCTTGAGTCACTGCCTCTTAGCAAGCTGTGTACTGAAGAACAGGAATTGCTACGATTCCTGTTTGAGAACAAACTGAAAAAGGTAAGGAAAAATTCAGCATGTGCTTTATGTAAATATCTTATTTTTTCAACTGGACTTGTCGCTTGTTTTATTTTTTTATTTATTTGCGATGCTGGGGTTTGAACTTAGGTCCTCATGCTGTTCTCCCAAGGACTTTTTATATTAAAGGATTGAATATCAAAGAAGTGGGTTGATAATGCATGAAAATAAGGATTTTGTTTCCTTGTTTGTTTGCTTCCTTCTGTGTGAAATACTTCCTGCCCTGGAATTCTGTGATGAAATTGAGAAGAGAATTACACTTACTGAGAGGAGTACTGATGGAATTTGAAATTAAACAGGTTTTTGGGGGCTCCTATATGTCGTGTATAAATGTTTTCATCATTTGGGCCAAACACACAAGTTTGCCTTTTGGTTTGTTATTGCCCATTGACTTCATGCTTAAATCTCTTTGCGTTTCAGTATAATAAGCCTAGTGAAACTGTCATCCCTGAATCTGTAGATGGCTTGCAAGAGAATCTTGATGTGGTGGTGTCCTTAGCTGAGAGGCATTATTACAACTGTGATTTTAAGATGTGTTACAAGCTTACTTCTGCGTAAGTATACCATCATTTTTGTGTAGGAATGTGGAATTCAGTCCATACCTATGTGATTCATGGATGTACCTTTACCATTTGCAGAGTACTGAATAGGCTGCTGTGTTAGAATAGTTTCCAGACATAAGTTTATTAACATGTATAAGTTTATTAAAGTAACATGGGAGGGTTATATGTGTCCATCTTCTCAGTCTTGATAATTTTGAGAATTCGATAATACCATTTTGTCACATACCTTTATAAAATTCACCCTTTAGAGAGTGACAGTCCTGTGGACCAGTCTGGTTTCCTTTTAGATAGCCATTTCCAGTGTACCTCATCAGACTTTTCATATTTATTTTTATATTAATATGTCACTCATTTATATGTTAATGTCATTAATGTGATGTGGCATAATGTCACTCATGACATGACATTTTTTTTTATGTGGGTCTTTTGGGTTGTTTAAAGTTCTTGAAATCACAAAAAATTTTAATGGGCATATACTTACCTATTATTTTGTTGTTTTTGCAGCACTGGGGCTTGAACTCAGGGCCTTATGCTTGCTGGGCAGATGCTCTACCATTTGAGCCATTCCGCCAGCCCTGTTTTTGTGTTAGGTATTTTCAAGTGAACTGTTTGCCTGTACTGGCTTCGAACTGCAATCCTTCTCATTTCAGCATCTGGAGTAGCTAGGATTATAGTTGGGAACCACTGGTGCCTGACTATTTTTAGTATTTTTTTATCCTTTTAAGTAATTGGCCTATTTTATGCATCATAAGTCTTTTGATTTGAAGTAAATGGCTAAAGAAGTAAGCCCGTTTCCCCTTTCCCTTATAACCCAATCTCTGCTTTAACTCAGAGTAAAGTATTAACAACCCAGGTGTTGTGGGTGATGTTATGCGTGTGGTCATGGGTTAATGACTGAGTGTAGCTAGCTAGGAGAGCTGTGTTGTACTGCTTCTGGGTGGTGATGTGTTGCTTTCACTTTCAGCGTAATGGAAAAAGATCCTTTTCATGCAAATTGTTTACCTGTACATATAGGGACCCTTGTGGAATTGAATAAAGCAAACGGTAAGAATTTCTTTTTAATTAAAACAATTCTTAAAATGAAAATTCTGTAACTTGAAATTGCAGTGACAATGTAATGGAGCTCTGCAGAAGAAGGAGCTCCTGGGGGGAAGAAAGTTTTATAAGCTTGGTCAGTGGTCTACTTCGTTTCCTAACACATGTATTTCTCTAACCCTGCTCCTATGTTGGCTTTAGAGTGTTGGCTTTCAGTTTTGACCCTTTTCTCTCTTTTTAAAAAATTCCTTAAGTAAATGGACATCAGGAGCCAACTACTTAGAAATTGGAAGGGAAGTGATTTTTTTCCTTGGGTTTTCTGCATTTTAGCATTTTAGAAACATTTACTTGTGTTTGGGCAGTTTTTCTCTTATATCTTTTAAAATTGATTCATGAGCTCTGTCTGTAGGAGAGAAAACCCATAATGCTGTAACTCCAAATCCTTGTGGCTGTCTTGTTTGTGGACCAGTAGTTTCAGGTCTCCTGTAGGCTGCCCAGTCTACTGTCTACTGAATCCAGAGTCTGCGTGTAAGAGATGCAATAATGAATAGTAAATAACCTTATTGACTTAATAAACTGAGACTGCTAAGTCCAGAGTCTACGTGTAGGACATGAATCATGAAATACATTTCTCAGAGCAAATGACCTCACTGATATGATAAACTTCAAAGTTTGGCCACTCGGTTTGGTTATGGGTGGCTAAGACATTGTATTCCCAGCCTGTGGCGTAAGAGACATGGGTTTCTTAGAATGGTGTTTTGCAGGAACCTGTTACACCTAAAGTGCTCTGTTTTGGGCATCTGTTCCTGTGTGGCTTACTATGTGCCTCTCACCCAGTTTATCAGTCACTCAGCAAGTGCACAGAGCCCACAGTTGGTCTGGGGAAGGTTGTCTGTCAGATAGGAGTTCTATATTTTGTACCTAGAAGGATAGGAAGATACGAGTTCATTGCTGTGACAAAGATTTTCTTTGACAAAAGTTACAACTAGAGGAAAGTCAGATCTTAAACTGATATTTGGTATACATAATTCTTTTCTTTTTCCCTAATATAGAACTTTTCTATCTTTCTCACAAACTGGTGGATTTGTATCCTAGTAATCCTGTAAGTAATAAAAATCTCTTTTTTCTTACTTGAACTCTAAGAAAATTCTTAACTAGTATTGAGATAGTAACTTGTATTTAAGTTCAAGCAAATAAAGTTTTATTTAAAACATTGGGGCAGAATCTCCTGTGCCGAAGCTAATAGTGCATTGACTTCCTTCTTCTATGATTGTTTTTTTTAAATTAAATATTGACAAATTCAAACAAAAATCTCTTCTTTCCGATTTCAGAAATTATACATGCTTAATATTTTAAAGTACTTACTGTACAGAAATATAAAATTCTGACCATGCCAGCTGCGTGCCTGCCTTTCCTGAGGAATGCAGTTGAAGTTTCTCATATGGCATGATGAGTGACATGTTGATTGGATCACTGGGTCTTCCAAATTACTGGGATCAAAATGGAGAGTTTGCAGTGGACAGTGGAATTTGCAAGTGTGTCCTTAAAAACAAAAGCCAGGGATCAGGTTATAAGTCTCGGACAAAAATTAGCCCCTAGCCCAGTGTGGAACCAATGCAGGAGAGCCAGCTAATTGAGAGTCAGAACCTGGGCACAGAGTAGGGAGAGCCATTGAGGCTGGACTCAAAGCAGGCAGGTGTGCTTAGGAGCCTCATCTTTTGTAGAAGCCACCTGGAAAGAGCTGAGGAGGAGCTGTTCTCACTTGGGACCTCAGTAGACAGACTGTCTCAGGGAAACTTCTAATTCAAACTAGAATGTATGCCTGGGAACATCTCATCCACGCTCTGTAGCCTAGCTTGTTAAGAGATTCCATTGTAGGTAAAGCATCTCTGGTCATGGTAAATATTGAACTTTTTAGGTGTCTTGGTTTGCAGTGGGATGTTATTATCTCATGGTTGGTCATAAAAATGAACATGCCAGAAGATATCTCAGGTATGAATTAATTTTCTTCCTCCCTCTATAGTGAATCTATGGAAAGAGATTTCTTGCTCTTATGCTTATGTGCAGTAATAGTAAGTACTTTAAAAGTAGTGTGAAAGAATAAATATTTTCTTCAACAGATTCTGCTCAGTTGCATCATCTATGTGCCTTGCTCTTCATAAGATGCTGTAGGGGGAGATAAAAGAAATCAGTGGTGTAGACCTTGTTCTCTAGGAACTTGGATTATTTTTTAATTTTATTTATAATTGAGAATAAATAGGAAACAGAATAGTGTTGTTTGAAAGGTCTCCTTTCCATTTACAGAAATACCTCTTACTTTGAGGACTTTTGCTTATAGTTGTGAAATTCCATGGTTAGGGTCACTCATTGTGTCTGTAAAACAGAATTCTTGGCAGAGCAAGTAGGTTCCTCTATGGAGCTATTGATTTTAAATTATCTTGCAGGTTATAAGATGAGATCACACACCTAATATGTCCAGCACAGGTCCTTACTTGGTGGCTGCTACCACCACCACTGTCACCATTTGGGTCACAGAGTAGGCTCCTGGGCTTGCAGTGCTTGTAAGGTGTATACAAAATGCTAATGGGTGTACTACAATACCTAAAAGGTATAGACCTCTCTCCTAAAATTTCTTAGAATTTGTACATTGTTTTAGTTCAGATGCTTTAACACAAATAATACATTAGTGTTTGATATGTTGACAGTTCATTTTTTCAATTAGTGTTATTAATGTCTTTGAAGCCATCTGCTTATATAAAATTAACAGTTTAAGAATATATTTCTTGAATGAATGCTTTTGTTTCAGCAAAGCTACAACACTTGAGAAGACGTATGGGCCTGCATGGATAGCCTATGGACATTCATTTGCAGTTGAAAGCGAGCATGACCAAGCAATGGCTGCTTACTTCACAGCAGCACAGCTAATGAAAGGGTATGGCAGGGCATGGTGGTAAAACCCTGGGACAGGAGCTCTTGCAAACAGAATGAAATGAGACTTCCGTTATAACCATTATTGCTATTTGGCTGCTAAATTAAGCAAAAATATCATATTTGTCTCTTATCTAATAACTTGTGAGACTGTAAAATAACCATGGAAATGGAAGGGGGGATAAAAGTGATGTGGTGAGTTTGCCCAGCGGCTTTTCTCAGTCAGTGCAGAAAGGAGCTAGGAAATGAGGCCAGGGGAAGATATGAGCACCAAAGCTGTTTTCACATGCTCATAAAGAATAAGAGTATTCCTGAGCAAAATTATTGCTGTGTTTCATCTGTAACCAATAGTTTGTTGATGTGGCTTGTGGGAGTGCAGGACTGTATTGACTAGTATTGTAAGTTTGTGTCAATGTTATATATATGGTGTTGATATCCATCAGTGTTCCTAAGAGTGTGTTATACTAGGTAGTTGAGTGTTGCCATTATTCCCACTGATTGTTTGGCCTCACTGTTGGTTACTGCAGAGCTCTTTTATGTGAACCACCTCCACTGACCAGAGACTGTGTCCCTATGTGGAAAGGCAGTGGAAAGGGGTGGTCTGCAGTCATACTTCACCTGGACTTCCTGGCCTTTTTGCTCAGCGCCATATGATCTTGGGCAGATTATCTTCTTGAAAGATAGGAATAATAGTAAAACTTACTCATTGGCTTATAGGAGGAGTACAGAGGTAATGCCAATTAAAGGCATACACATAGAAAGCACTCAAAAGTCAGCTACCTTTGTTTGCTTATAGAATTCAGGGTAGGCTCATATATTTATCTGTATTGAATTTCATCTTGTTAGCTTTCATCTTCCTTTTCAAACTATCAGACTCCTTGACATTCAATCTTGCACCCAGATTATCTTCAGCTTTTTGTAGTCGTATGAAAGTATGACTTACAGTCATCTGTGGAAGTACTGTGAAGGACATAGTTCCCTAACTGCATTTGTTAGCTCAAGTATTTGCCATAGTAAAATACCACAGACTACATGACATAAACAATAAAAATTTATTATCTCATAATTCTGGAGACTGGAAGTCCAAAGTTAATGTACTACCAGTTTGGTTCCTGGTGAGGTTCTCTTCCTGGCTTGTAGATGGCAGCTTCTTGTTTTGTTTTCACGTGGCAGAGGGAACCTGTTGGTGTCTTTTGCCCTTATAAGGGCTCTAGCCTTGTTGTATTAGGACTCTTCTTCATGAGCTCATTTAACCTTATTACTGCCTAACAGGCTGTATCTCCAAATACTATCAGAGTGGTATAAATGAATTTAGGGGAACAAACATTTAGTCCATAGCACTTGCTAGAAATAATCCTCCAGGTTGCAGCTTGTTATTGATCCACCTAAATGATCATTGTACTTAGCCCAGGTCTCTGTGTTCTGTCTACCTTGTCCTGTGTTGTGCTGAAGCTTAACCACAGTGTCAGCCTGTTTCCCTTTATCTATCAACCTGATAAATTGGCAGCAAAAAATTCTCAATAACATGCATGTAGAATGCACTCAGTAAAAGTTAGCTTGAGTCGTGGATTGTTTTGTAGGGGCATGTGGTAGGGCCTGGTAATTTTTGTTTGATACTCTGGGTGCCCACAAACAGTAGTTATTAGTTACTAGTTGGTGCCTGAGAATTAAAATCAGTGATAACTAATGACACAAGTAATATCTTTAGTGTTTCCCTGTATAACAGACTTTGTCCTTAAATCTTCACATCAAGCTAAGCATTATTTTTCTTCAAATTTCATCTACCTATCAGAACAGCTTTACTTTCTCTTCACTTGCTTATATGTTTGGATAAACATTCAAAATTAGGTAAATATTTTTAAGTTCCCTTTCTGACTACTTCTTTGAGCCATTGGTTACTTAAAGTGTGTTTAATTTCCATGTTTATGAATTTCCCAAATTTCTTTGTTACTGGTTTCTCACTTGATTACATTGTGCCTGGAGAGCATTCCATGGGATTTCAGTCCTTTTTCTATGATCTATTCTAGTGATTGTTCCAGATACACTTGATAATTCTGCTCTTGTGAGGTGGAATGTACCATGGACACAGGTTAGGTCTGATCTGTACAGAGCTGTTGAAGTCTTCCATTTCCTTGTTGCTCTTCTACCTAGTTATTCTGTCCTTTATTGGAAGTAGGGGATTAAAGCCCTAGCTCTAATCATCAAATTGTCTATTTCTACCTCTGAATAGACAATTCTGCTTTAGGTATTGAGTCCCTATTGTTATATGCTGTATAATTGTTACATCTTCTTGATGGATATAGCCTCTTCCAGAATTGAACTTGGTTCTTTTTTTTTAAATTTCTGTCTTACTATTATTCTCTAATTTCCTTTAGTTTTTTCAAACATAATTTCCTCTTCAAATATTTAAAATAGCATATTTAAGGTTATTTATTTTATGTCCAACATCTGGGCTTCTGCCAGGACAGTTTCTATTAATTGTTTTCTTCCTGTGTATGGGCCATACTTTTCTGTTTCTTTGTATGTCTCTGTATTTTTGTTGAAGGTAATGTAATATGGTAATTCTGTAAATTAGATTTCCCCATCCCACCCCAGAGTTTGTTGTTGCTGCTGTTTTAGTGACTTCAGAACTAATTCTTGGCTGTGTCCACTGCTAAGTCCATCAAAGCTTCTGCTCCATTAGCTTCTGGACTCATTGGCTCCCATTCCTTGCTAAAGGACCCTACCTGCATCAAGCACACCTTCAGCACTCTGGTTGTCAGCCATTGTGCCTTAGATTTTACTTTTTTTCATGCTCAGAGCTTTGAAGTTAGTCAGAGGTGAGCAATTTGGTCCTTTTCCAGTCTTCCTTTGTGTGCATATAACCCCAGGATCCCCAGGAATGTGTCACAAAGCCCCTAGTGGACATCCCGCTCTACAGTTTTCCTATTAAGTTTTTGGCTAGCCGCTTATATAGCTGCCTCTGACAGCTGAGATGATAAATAATTGCTGCTTATTATTTTTCAGCAAATGCCCCAGGGATAGAACTTTTCTCACTGAGTGAACACTGAGGTCAAATGAAACAGACTTGAATGGTCTTTTCCAGAAGCTGCCAGACACATAAAATAGTGACAATCCTCTGTGGGATGTTGTAGGAGCTCCACACTCTTGCTTCTTCCAGTGGCTATGGGGCTAGCAGTTTACAGCTGCTGGTTGTGGGAAATTGGGGAGGGAGGTGGGAACAGAACAAGTGAAGGTACCACAAGTTTGCCATTCTTTTAGAGAGTCAGCTGTTTCCTTGAACATCTGATTCTCAGGTGATTGTTGTAAGCCCTGGGTTACCTCTCAAAGTTCTAGACAGATTGGTTTTGACAGTATTTGCCAGTATTCTTATTACTTTTATAAGTATGTATATTTTTGGAGGTCCTTTTTCTGCCATCCTGAAAGAACCTCCTTCAGATAAACAGTTTTAAAGGACTTTTCATGACCCCTCTGTGGATGATAGAATGTTAATTTGAGTCACGTCTAGGTAAAACCAAAGCACACACAAACCAATGAATATTTACCCATGTTATAGATCATCTTTGAAGAAAGGTGAGTAGTCAGTGATCTGATAGTGTGAAAAGTTAGAAATTCTTTGAGAAGTAGTTAGTACTGGCTATGCATATGACTTTCTCAAGAGGATGGGAAAGCAGAATTCATACACATAACGTGACTTAAAGAGTTCTTCAGGGAAAAACTGATAAAAACCTATTGTGATGAGCAAGTGCAACAGGGAGAGCCATGTAGGTCAGAAAATCAGGTGGTGGCCTTGTACAGGGAAACGGACCATAGCTCTTTATTTTGAACAGTGCATGGTACTGAGTGGACATGGGAAAGTGGGTGGTAGCCCAGGAGTGAACCTTCACACAGGAGAATAGTACTGGACCTGCCTTTCTGTTCTGAGAGGTTTTTTTTTTTTCTGCAGAATTTAAAAAAAAAAAAAGTTCATTGGGTGTTCACTAAATATTAGTAAACTAGGAGTTAGAAAAAATTAAATACTGTGTTTTGGACTACATTTAAATTATCTTACAGATAGGATCTGAAGCTGACAAATTGCTGCTGAACTGCAAAGTTTTTGGTTTTGAATATGTGAATTTTTCCAATATTTTTAGGTGTCATTTGCCAATGTTATACATCGGATTAGAATATGGTTTGACCAATAACTCCAAACTGGCTGAAAGATTTTTCGGCCAAGCTCTGAGCATTGCGCCAGAAGACCCCTTTGTCATACATGAAGTCGGGGTTGTTGCCTTTCAGAATGGAGAGTAAGTATTGGAGGACCACAGCCCTTCTGTTGACTGTAAGTGGGACCTCGGTCATAAGAGTTGCTGACCAGAGTGATTTCAGTGAATTTTTGTTTTTAGATGTTCTGTTTTAGGAGACGGAGTTTGACAGTTAAATAGAGAAAGTAGAAATGCTTTTCCTGGATTTTCTTAGAGGACAGACTCAAATTTTGGTCTTCCTTTTATCTGGGTTGCCATGAACTCTGATCCCCACGTATTACCTAGAGGCTCTGTAGGATCCTTAGTCTTTCTGTCAGTTAAAAGTTGGATTCACATATTTGAGACAGTTTTTCCACAATTTTTGAAACAAATGTTTTCTGTTTAATTACTAATAAAACAAAATTAAACTACTTATAATGATCCAATATCTAGTTTCCTGGTCAATTGAAGTTTTTCTTTACATTTGGATATTTGTAGACTATGTGATTCTGTGTCATACTCAAAGAGAAAAATATCTTTTATAATCCTTTGCATTAGATTATACATAAACTTAAAAACAGTAGAATGTCAGTGGTGTTTGCATTCTAAAATAAGTCTCCTTTCTCTGGTCTGTTTGGTTTCACATTTTTGTGCTGCTTATTGGTGATTTCAATGCTTATAAAATAACCCTAAACTTAGTGCTATCTATAGTTGAAGCACAAGAAACTGAGGTGTGCTTCATGGGAATTCATGTGTTAGGTGAGTTTTGATCTGGCCTGACAGTGCTGTTGACCGTGAGTTCATTGTTATTGGACCAATAGTGTATATTAAACAAGGTTAGTCATGACTAGTTGATGAAATACTATGACCAAAGGTTTCCAACCCTAAATACCACAAAACACAAGAATTGACTCTCAAATCCTAAATATGTGTGATGTTAATGCTGTAAGATTAACCTTTTATCTTACTTAAATTTTAATTTGAATCAATCATTTCCAGCAGTTTACCCCATACCCCATTTCATTTAAGTACTAGTAGAAAGAGATATTCAAGTGTTTTTGTAAAATATTTATACTTGCTAATTTTGAATAACCTCCAACCCGTTTTTCCCCTCTATTTTAGATGGAAAACAGCAGAAAAATGGTTTCTCGATGCTTTGGAAAAAATTAAAGCAATTGGGAATGAGGTAGTCTTTGTAATATCTGTCCATGCTTACCTGCATACGTACTCCTAAGTGTATCTACTATTGAATCAGGAAAATAATAGAGACACTGGGTCTCTCTTGCCCTGAAGGGGATAACCTAACAACAGGTATCATACCAAATAGCTTGGTAGTGTTAGGGTTATCAGATAGTTGACTGTTTTATGAGGTGATGAAACCAGTGACCTTGTTTCTAATTAAAGGGTAGATGTTGATATTGGCCTCTTATGAGGACCCTGTGACTTAAGATAGCAGAATGTATAAGGTGATTATTTGAAACAAGAATTTTGATGGTTAGTATATTCTGGGAGACATTGCAGCATCTGATGCAACATTGGTTCTCTAGTGCTTCAGAGAACCTGGCTGTTGGCTGCAGGTACATTCAGTTTAGCAGCAGAAGTGGTTCTGCAAGAGCAGGTGTTATTCAAATTCAGACCTTTTTTTGCTGTTCCTGCAGTTGCAGTGTGCCTGTGCCCATAGAGTCAGCTTTGCTTACTTTCATCTCTTTGTTATCTGAACTTACAAACATAATTCTCTGTGTTTGTACACATATGTCTGTAAAGCAGGCTTTTCCTCAACTGAGTCTTGGGTGGTTCTGGATAACCCTAGTATTTTTGTTAAAATAGAGTTGCCAGTCACCACTTTCCAATTCTCAAAGAATTGAACGCCTTGCTACTCACACTGGCCTAGCTGCAACAGCAGCTGGAAGCTGGTTACACGTTCAGAATCTCATTCAATAGGAGACTGAGGGTTATAGTGTTGGAGTTATGCCCAAGAAGTAGAATGAGCAAGCTCTGGACAGCCTTAGAAGGATGACTTGTTCCCACTGACTGACTAGTGGGGAACTAAGAGAATGAGGTTAGGGAGCTGGAATGACTAAAGAGAGATGAGTTGGTGTGGCACATTGAATTGAAGTGCTATATAACATTTCTAAGTAGTAATATTTTGTAGGCAAATGAATATAAAGATCCAGTGTTTCAGAGAGAGCTGTTGGCTGTAGGTACACAATACAAACTCCTTACATATGAATGGACTCTTTGACAGAATATGCTAATCACAGTGGACTACTCAGGAAGTCTCATCTAGTGGGGAAGAAAAGTGGATAAGCCTTACCTCTGCTGTGATAGAGGCATTCACTAGGAAAGAGCCCGGCTTTTAGCTCTCAGAACATGAAAAAGATTCAATGCAAACAAATCAGGCTAAACAGTGGCGTGTGTAACTGTGGGCTTGATGTTGCTATGTTTTAGGTAACAGTTGACAAATGGGAACCTTTGTTGAACAACTTGGGGCATGTCTGCAGAAAACTTAAGTAAGTGAAGTAGAGAATTTTCAGAAATATATTTTGTGACTAAAAGTTTGCTTAATTTTGTTTTTGTTTTGGTGGTACTGGGTTTGACTTCAAGGCCTTGTGTTTGCTAGGCAAGTGCTCTACCACTTGAGCCATTGAAGGGTATTTAATTTTGAATACCCTTTCTGTATTTTTATTTCAGGAGCTTCTTTAGCTTTCTTGTACTTGGCCACTCACATACAACAAGCATCAAAATCACTGATCATTACTTATCTCCATTGACATAACTTTACTTTAGAAACTTTGAGAATTATAACAGGCTGTTCTTTTTTTATTTTAAAAAAGTTTAAGTGTTCAAAATTAGTTTGAAAGAACTGGGACAATAGGACCTACTTAAAACTATGTGTGTATTCTAGTTCTGTTTCCCAGAAGTTTCATAGTATAATAAACACTTGACAGCTAAAAATGGCTCCCTGTTTATGTCAAGTTTTGGGGGGAATACCTCTAAATACCTGTATATTACAGGTATTTATACAGTATTACCTGTATAATACAAGAAGAGACTAGTCTTTTGTAAAGAAAGGAAAAAAAAAAGCAAGTTTTTTTTCTGTTCCGGGATTTCCTTAAGTTTTTATTATGTGTTAGGAACTGTAACATTTCCTAGACTTTAATTAAGCTTAAAACCTTTCACAAAAGATTTCACAGAGTAAAGTAAGTATTCCAGAGAACTTTAGGGAACACTGTTCTAAGTAACTTTTGGATCTTAAAGCAAAACTCCTTGGCTGCTCTCTTCTGTCCTAGTGTGAGAAGGTTACATCATGGAAAAAGGAGATGTGTGATGAGAGGTTCAGGCTAGGACTTGAGGATGAGGTTCTGATTGGTGTCCCCTCAAACAGCAAAAGGAGTACAGTTAAGAGTGCCAGCGGAGGGGACATGCCAGGAAAATACATTTTTAAATGTTAAAAATCTATATAAGTAGGTATGGGGTAGTTACCCGTCTAGACTGCTATTCTAACAGGAATGTTTACATAGATGAATATGCATGTTAGACTTAGAAATTTAGTACTTTGACTGAAGTAATTGTTTTTCTCTCCTCCCTTTTCCTCCCTTCCCCCTTGTCTTTCAACAGAAAATATGCTGAAGCATTGGATTACCACCGGCAGGCATTGGTGTTGATTCCTCAGAATGCATCCACCTATTCTGCCATAGGGTATATCCACAGTCTGATGGGCAACTTTGAAAATGCTGTGGATTATTTCCATACAGTATGTCTGTTGTTTCTACCCAACTTTAAATCAGCCTAATCTTTGCCTCTTTTAAAAAAAGATATTTTCTAGGCAGTGTTTCATCTCTTTACAGTTTGAAACTTCACACATTACATTTTATTTGACTTTTTTTTTTTTTTTTGGCACCCCTGAGTTTGAACTCGGCCTTAGGCTCTCTGAGCAGACGCTGTTATTGCTTGAACCATTCCACCAGCCCTATTCTTTTCTCTGCAGGGAAAAGTAATAAACATGTTATGCAGTACTCATCAAAGTAGAAACTAAGGTGAGACTGGTCCTCAGTGTGCACTGAAGCGAGCAAGTGCCCAGTGGTACTTGTAACTCAGCTCAGTCAAGCATCTTGTCCAGGAAGGAATTGCAGAGATATCCATTCCCAGTCTTTCTACTCAGGACACCATTGACTCCCTGGATCACTTTCATAAATGAGCAAAAACAACCTGTGCATCCATCATGAGGAATGTTTCCTTAGTCCAAACACATTATTTCATCAAAGATAAGACACCATGAATAAGCACAGTGACCAAAAGGAAAAAAAAGATGCTGCTAATTAAGCTTTGATCATGTGATTTTTTTATATTTACAGAAAGTACTCTCAAATGTATTTAGACCGATTTTTATCAAGGACCACTCTATTATATAGAAAAAGAAAATATAGTTGAAGTAATTTCAGTTTTCAAGCCTGATGGTCAGTGTCCCGATTTTCCCAAGAGTGTCCTGGTGTTGGCACACATGCCTGTTTTTGAGTTTGAGTTTCCTCCTTGCCTCAGACCCTGCTTTGCAAGTCTCCCTCAGAACTCTCTCAGCCTGCTGACGTGTCCACAGAATGTTTTAGACAATCACCACAATTCAGATATCATCTGTACATGTTCCTCACGTGGTCTTTGGTCTCACCTGAGCACTAAGACAACAGGGAGGACACCTACATCACAGCTGTGGCTGATGATAGCAGTAGTAGGAAGCCACCAGTTGTGAGACATACCGGGTTTAGAAACATCAGAATTTGAGAAAATATGGACTGTAGTGGTATTTAGAGAGAGATAATATGACACACTGAAATATTTCAAAGATAATTTATCAGTGACAGGCTCATAATTGATTTTCAAGGATTAGAGATTTTCAAGCTACATGAACTGTTGAAGTTACCCTGTTGGTTTCCAATATACTGAGCTAGCCAGAACCTTGGACCATATAAGTTTTCCTGTCTTACATGATCTTTCAATTATGTACTTTTGGGTATTGTATAATTTACCTCTTTTGTGATTTAATTAATACAGAAGGCTCAGAGCACTCTATGTGGAGATACAGCTTTTAATCTCTTGGGTAGATTTCAAGTATATGAATGAAATAGTCTGAAACTCCATGATTCCCACCCACCCTCAGGAATCTCAGTCTTGTAGTGTGTTCACACCAACACCACTGCCACTCTACCCTGAATTTCCTGGAATTCTTTGAAGTAAATCTATGTGAGAGTACTTTTAAACAAGAGAGAATGGTTTACATTTCAGTAACCATGCTGAATCTTTTTTTGGCAGGCCCTTGGTCTTAGACGAGATGACACATTTTCTGTTACAATGCTTGGTCATTGCATTGAAATGTACATTGGAGATTCTGAAGCTTATATCGGTAAGATCATAATCACTTATTGGCATTGTATTCTACTTTTTAGATTGTTGTATGTCTCTGGGATTTTTGAACTCTCATACAAGATTCTAAATTTAGCTTTCTACCATTCTAACTACATTGACATTAAGAAACTCCCCAGGGGGCCTGTTGTAGTGGCTCAAGTGGTAGAGCTCTTGCCTAGCAAGTGTGAAGCCCTGAGTTCAAACCCCACTACTGCCACAAAAAAACAAAACAAAACAAAAAAAACCCCAAAACTTCCCAGATTCCTTCATACAGTTTTGGTCAGCAGATGCTCAGCTGGGTTGATAATCTGTGATCGGCTCATCTATGGGTATAGGAACCTCAGCTGGCATAGCTGGGGGTTCCCTTTGTGGGGCTTTCATCCCAGCCTTCTGTGTGTATGGTGCAGTCAGAAATCTAGAAAATAAGAGCCAGAGCTGTGGGACCTCTTGAAAATTAGAAGTTGCAGATCATTTGTTGGAACAGTGCAGTGGGATTTAATGACTCATTTCACATTGAGTTCACATTGTGTAGTGCACAGAACATTGTTACAGAGTGTGTGTGAAGCACATTACAGAGGAATTGGTCTAACTGGATAGTGGAAGAAGAAATTTTAGGGATGCTTTTCTAATAAATGAAGGGCTCTGTTCTTTCTTTATAATACATGGCAAAAAGCAAAAATCTTTACATTTCAGTGGAATGTTAGGTTGCCCTGGATTCACTTACCAGTGGTATGTACTCTATAATCCTTTGAATTGTTTTTGTAAAGATAAGCAAGTAGTAGGATAAGTTTGGGTGGAATTGCTGTACTTGGGCACTCCCTTAGGAATAAGTATTATGAGATAAGGAGAGCACATTGAGGTTAAATCTTGAGATCTGGACCTTGGGGAATGCAACGATTTTTTTGAGGGTGTAAAATCTTAAGAGAAAAAAAATAATAAGTTGGGATTTAATAAAATTAAGAACTTCTGATAACAAAAACAGTATTATGAAAGTACAAGTGTGCCTTCACTTCAGAGAACGACTTGCAATACATAGAAAACTCACCTGGAACTCCAAATCCTCAAGTCCCTAAGAAAAGGTTAAACAAGGGTGGGAGGCATGGCTCAAGTGGTAGAGTGCCTGCTTAGCAAGCACACGGCCCTTAGTTCAAACCCTGGTATCACAAAGAAAGAAAGAAAAAAAAAAAAGATTAAGCAAAAATGCTTAAAAAATGTGCAGTTGAAGAGGAGCTTCACAAAGATGGCCTCTGGGTGGTTATGGAGCACACAAGAGCACTTGGCAGCATCAGTTAACTTTGGAATGGAGTTGGCATCATAGTGAGAAAATGCCACACACAACCTTCAGAATGACTGAAATTGAACATCGCGACAGTGCCAGGCACTGGGATGATGTGGAGCAACTTCACAGGCTGACCTGGAGTATGTACTGATCATGCCATTATAGGGAGACTAGTAATTAGCAAGACTGAGCAGTGGTGATGGAAAGTCAGAATGATGGCCTCAGGTTCAACTAACTCAGATCTTCCAATCTTACTTATTTGTAAGATTTTTGACATGGAAAATGTATTTCTTGCATTGTGGCCTCATGAGCAGTAGATTGATGACTATAAAACAGGCATACTGTGACAGTTCTTGTCTGTAACAGTGGAGGAAAAAGTTTCCCAGAGGCTTCATCAATATTCAAGGGGTTTTGGGAATGGGTGTCTGTGGAATCACATGAAAACCACAAATGCTTCCAAAAGTCTTCCTAGCATCTCCCTTGACAATGGTGGAGAAAAGGAAAGAAAAAAGAGGGGAGGTATGACTCATGCATTAGAGCACCTGCTTTGTGAGGCCTGCTTTGCAAGCATGCAACCCTGAGTTCAAACCCCAGTCCCACTGAGAAGAGAGAAAGGAAAATATTGGCACTCTTCCCTTCTGATCTATAGTTTTTCTCTTCAAAATTTGACTTAAGCGGTTGTGGCAGTATCATAATGATGGGAATGTCAGATCAGTGATGACGTCTTATTTTATTCTAATTATGGTGTTTCTTTTTAGGAGCAGACATTAAAGACAAATTAAAATGTTATGACTTTGATGTGCATACAATGAAGACACTAAAAAACATTATTTCACCTCCGTGGGATTTTAGGGAATTTGAAGTAGAAAAACAGACTGCAGAAGAAACGGGCCTTGCGCCACTGGAAAACTCCAGGAAAACTCCAGATTCCAGACCCTCTTTGGAAGAAACTTTTGAAATAGAAATGAATGAAAGTGACATGATGTTAGAGACATCCATGTCAGACCATAGCACGTGACTCCAGACAGTGGTCAAAGGGCCCATGCGTGCTGTATAAGTCAGTATTCCTTCACATCCTTGCCATGTCTTAAAAGAGTTTCCTACTTCCTAATATGAATCCAAACTACATCTCTACATATAGGACCAGCAACCTGCCTTAAGAGATGGGATAGCACACCTCTGCAACAGATATTTTCTGATTCTCTGAACCTACAAAATAGTTACACGTAGTGGAATAAAGAAGGTACAACTGTCCATTACGTCTTTTTCAATAAACTTTTATTTTCTGTATATTTTTAGTTTTTAACATCTTAAAGTGAAAACAACCTAATCTGAAGAAATCCAGTTTCTGTAGCATATGAACAATCTACTCATGCTACAGATGACCTCTTTATACATTGTGTTTCCTTAACAGTTACAATTACTGTCTTATGCATTTGCCTTTTAAATCATATGGGAAAATAGGAATACAAACCAAAAGTACATGAGTACTGCTTTTTTCTTTTATCTGCATTGTAGCCTTTGCCAGTGTCTTCATATGATTTTGAGTTGCTGCCTTGCACCCTTTCATTCAGCCTGAAAGGAGTTCCGTTTGTATTTCTTTCCCTGCCTTCATCTGTGTCTTCTTTTCTTCATCCCAGTCTTCTTTTGCATTTCTTACAGCACAGGTTTACTAGTGCAAACCCTTTTAACGTCTCTTTATCTGAGAATGTCTTAATTTTTCCTTCATTCTTACAGGTCAGTTTTGCTGGATGTGGAATTCTTGGCTGACTTTCTTCCAGCTGTTCAAATTCCATCTCACCATGTTTGAACAATCAGCTCTCAGTTACTGAGGGTTCCTTGCATGGGAAAAGCTGCTGTTGAGATTCTTGCTTTGGCTTTTGACAATTTAAGATGTTTTAGTGTGGAATCCTTAGTGAGCTTATCCTGCTTGGAGTTTGTTGAGATTCTTGGGTGTCCATCAAATTTGGGGAGTTTTCAACCATTATTTCTTCAAATTTTTCTTTTGCCATCTTCTCTTGAGATCCCTGTAATGCATATTTTGGTAGGTTTGATGGTATCCCATGCGTCTGTTAGGTTCTGTTCATTTTCTTCATTTCAGTGCCTTATCTTTGAGTTTGTGGATTCTTTCTTTCTTCTCAAATTTACTGCTGAATTCCTGTAGTAATTTTTTTGTTTGTTTGTTTTTACATTTCAGCTATTATACTTTCCAGATCCAGAACTTGGGTTTGGTTCTTTCAGGGACCAAACAAAAAGTAACACAGGAACTGAAAAGTAATTTTTTCTACTGACATTTTCTATTCATACATCACTCCCTTGGTGCCCTGATTTCATTGTCTGTGGTTTCCATTAGCCTCTTAAGCATATTTAACATAGTTGATTGGCATCTTTGACTAGTGACTCCAGTATCTGGCCTTCCTCAGGAGTAGTTCCTATCAAATTCTTTGTTCCTATGAGGAAGCTATGTTTTCCAGTTCATGTGCTTTATAGTTTTGTGTTAAGAAAGGTACATTTTCAATACTTTAACTCTGGAAAACATCCTCCTCCTTAGGAATTTGTTTTATTACTTGTTGAGGGCTGTAGTCACCCATTTGAATTTCCAAATTATTTTTGCAAGTCTGTATTCCTTCTTGCGTGGTTACTGAATTACCATTCTGTTGTCTCTGGTTAGCCTGTGACCTGCCAGCTATTTCCTTAAATATCTGGACTTAAAAAAAAAAAAAGCGTCACTAAATTTTCTGACAGCTGTTCTGGGGACACTGTTGCAGCTTGACCATCTCCACCAGTACCTGCATCCCTAATCATTTCTTCAACCTGTCCATCTGTGACTGTCTCTCCACACTTTGTCATCACATGGTGAAGCTCTGCTACACTTAGCACAGCCATTGCCATCCTGATCAAACACATGGGATGTTTCTCCAGTTTCTTCTTCACTGTCTTTCATGTTTTGCCATCATTGTCAGAAACTCAGAAAACTTACTACCATCAGCATCCACTTCATTAATCATGTCCTATACCTCTGCTGCTGTGGGAGTCTGCCTGAGATCTTGTTTCAGTTCCTTGTGCCTTTGTTATACTTCCATCACCATCCTTGTCAAATAGTGCAAAAGCTTCCTTGAATTCTGCCATCTGCTCTTCAGGTGGTCAGCCATGCTGAACCACTGCCAGTTTCTGAGACATGATCACACAGCTGCTCTCCTTTCTCACTCTACTCTGGGAGTGTTTTCAGATTAATGGTTGTTCTGGTGGAGGGGCAAACCCCTGGAACTTCCCAGTATTGCCAGTTTCTGTGACTTTGCTCCTTTGTCTTTTAAAACATATAGCAAGAGCTTTAGGCACAGTAAGTGCTATGGGAGTCCTATAAAATTGTTTATAATCTTACCAAAATTAAACTTTTAAAGATCATAATAGTCTTTAAGCTAACAAACTCAGTTGACTACTAAGCACAATTTTATAACTTTAAAAAATCCAAAAGCATCGAACACACACTGTTGCCAAATTGTAATTTTGTTCTATAAATCTGATCTACAGTTCTTTATAACTTCTACATCCTATTGTGTAGTATTTTCCTTCTTACTCCATTTATATCATTTTAAATACTAATTAAAATGTTTCCCTCAGCCTGTTTTAATCATTTTTATCATCTTTATACTTTCTCACATGTTAATAAGACTAATAACAGAATCCAGATGAATTAGCAGTGACTACTGGTAATGCTAAGTCATTTTTAACATTGTCCCTGCTAGATTGTTCTTTTGTAGATGTGTCTGAAATCAGCAGTGGCAGAGCTGATTAAGGGTTCTGTTGGCTGGGGTCAAGAGAGAAAAGATCTTACAAAGCTTTACACATTTGGCAATTTATTTTGTGAAAGGCATACTTTTTTTTCCCCCTAACTCTTACTTACATTAGCTCTGATTCCTGGGTAGTGACTACATAAGTAGTAGATAGCCACACTACTGGTATGGGACAAGTTTATGTGCTTCATTCATTGAAAGCCCTTTGTTTCAAACTCTACTCATTCTAACTTCAGAGGACAACTGTTCTACTTTTTCATAGAGAAAAATGTAGTTACTATGAGACATTTACATCATTAACAAGGTTATTATATTGTGGCCAGTTTCTAGCAACTGAAATGCTTTCCTTAAAACACCAAAGCTTTTTTTCTTAATCTATCTAAAATGTATTCCGTGTTTCTACTTTCCTAAGAAGAAAATTAGTAACTCTTGTGGCTTGAGGGCCTCCCATGCTAACTCTGGAGGGTTTATTACTCCTCAGACTTGGAGTCCAAGCAGTTTAGGTGGTGTGTCCAAGGTCCAGCAGGCTGTGCCAGTTCTTCATAAATGTCAGCCACTGCATGGGGGCTTCCTGCAGTGACATCCTAGCCTTTCTGAGTCTCCGTTTTTCTGTCTCAGGCATGTCTGGCTTATTTTTTTATGCCTCTTTTTAGCTGGGGCTAGAAAATCAAATGACAGGAGGTGCAACTCAAGCACAAGGCCAAGTTCAAACACCCTCCCCCGCCCAAAAATCAAATTAACTTAATTTTTAAAAAAAAATGTTAAGGAAGTACTGTAATGTTGAGCTTTTTGTCACATTTCACATTGCCTGCCAGAACAACTTTCCTTTTCGTTTCCTCAGTTATAGCCTGTTACAGTATTGTAGGCTTCGGGTAAGTTGGATGTCTATGTCAGCCAATACCTGTCGACCGTGCTTCAGGCAGCTGTTGTGAGTTTTTGGTCCATTTAACGTCCGTTTCAAATGTGAAGGATGAACACTGCGTGCACTTCTAGTATCTTAAGTCTTGATCTCTTAAGGCGTCTTCATTCTCTGTGCTTGAAGTTCTTGGGAGAAAGGTGCTGTAAACGAAAATACAGCCAACCAAATAAAGGAAAATGTGAGAACAGAACCGCGGTGTCCGCCCTGACTGGTGGAGTTGGGGTCCAGCACTGCTGTTGTGGGAGGAAAGGTTTGGGCTCCGTGGAGAAAACGGCTGTAATCCCTGCGCCGGGGCCTGGCCCGCACCACGGCTGCCTGAGCCGATCGCCCGCGAACGCTGAGCATGACCACCGCCCGGCCCTTCTTGGTGGAGCTCAGGAGCTCACCCGAGCGCCGAGCTCCCGGTCGCCGCCACTGCCGCAGGCAGAGCGGGGAGGGACTTCGCGCAGGATTCCGAGGGCCGGGGGCGGGGCGGCCGAGGTATCGCGAGGTTTCGTCCTTCCCCGGGCTGCTGGCGGCGGGCGTGGGGCGCGCGATGCGCTCGGAGAAGGAGCGGGCCGGAGGCCTGGGTGCCGCCGTTGCTATGCGGGGCCCAGGTGGAGGGGAGAAACTGTCGGCTGCGGAGGTCCAGGTCCGCCGTGAGTCGCCGCGGCGGGAACCTGGTACTCCGCCACCCTTGTCCTCTGGCTGTGGGAGCGGGGCAGGCAAACCTCGCGAGGAGAAGAGGACTGCGTTGAGCAAGGTGGAGGCGGGGTCATCGTCGCGGGGGGAGGGCACGCCCGAGGGCGGTGGGCGTGGCCGGGGCGGGGCGGGGCTCGCCGGGCCTGCCCGGTGCAGGCTTGCCCGCCACACGCGTTCGCTGAGCTCCGTGTACCCAGCCGGGCGGACGGTGGGCGAGGCGCAAGGATGACAAGCCCGCGTCGCCTCAGGTCGTCCTCCGGCGGCTTCCTCCCGGTCTCACCAAAGAGCAGCTGGAGGAGCAGCTGCGCCCGCTGCCCGCGCACGATTACTTCGAGGTGGTCGCCGCAGACCTCAGGTAAGGCCCTGGAGGTGGAGGGAGCGGGGTGACGGCGGCCGTCCCCGTGCACACCGCGTTCCGGGTGAGCGGGCGCTGTGCCCCTCGACCGCGCTTGGGACAGCACCTCACGTTACTTGCACGACACCCCGCCTTCGCACGTAGCTTTTTCATAAAGCGAAACGCGCTAAGCCAGCCAGAGGGGTCGGTCCTCAGTGAGCTCTGCTGGACCCGGGGACTCACTGCCCACTCACGTCCTCAGACACGTGCACAAGCTTGCGGCATCCCGGCGATCAGACATCAACAGGTGACCGTGCAGCTGCAATCACTGCTTTCACGATAGTTTTGTCTCCATTTACGATTTTTCACTTAGGGCAGTCAGGTAAACTTTTCTTTGGAATAATTGTTTCCATAAAAGTATCTATTCAAAAAATATCGCTAGTTGTCAAACAGCTACAGTTTAAAAAATACAGATAGCTTTCCCATGGCTATAAAGTTCAGAAAAACCTGGGGCACTTAAAGAGACAGGCCTGATAGACGCGGTGGCTCATGCCTGCTACTTGGGACTCAAGGATGTGTAGCATTGAAGTTCAAGGTCAGCCCTAGGCAAAAACCTCACAAGCCCTCATCTCGACCAATGCCTGGGTGTGGTAGTGTGCACCTGTCATCCCCAGTTTAGTGGGTAATGGAAAATAGGATCTCCGTCTAGTCCCCCCTCTCCTAGCATGAAGTGAGACCCTAACTTAAAAATAACCTACACAAAAAAGAGCTACTACTAGGTTCTAGTGGTAGAGTGCCTGCCTAGCAAGAGGAGGCCCTGAGTTCAAATCCCAGTACCACAAAAAATCAAAGTACTCAAGCTGGAATCCCAGGCCTACCCTGATTTCTCTGAGCCTGTATATTCTCTGTGAAATGGGATTGAGAGTTAATGCCTGTGAAGGGAATGGTGGTCCTGAGGTCAAGAGGGCCTTACTTTCTCCTGTACACCCCGTACCACATGCTTCACTAAGAACTAAAGATCTGAAAGTGGTCTGGGAATCAGAAAAGAATCTCCTGCAAGAGATTCATTGCCCTGTGGCAATGAATGAATCAATGAATTCACCAACTAATGTGTCTAGACTACCTTGGTTCTGGTCCTGATGAATTACAATGACCTGAACAGCCTTGCCTTTGGTTTTCAACCTCAGGGCTCCAGTATTTTAATCCTTGCTCTGTGCAGTGGAGTAGCTGACCTAAATTGTCTCTCCCAAGTAAATAAAAAGACCTTTGTTAATAGTTTGTTTTCATTTTTTTGCTAAAGAATATCCAAATTATAACAGAGATGATTCTTTGGCATAAAGGTTTTATAGAAGTAGTTTGTTGTATCCACAAAAGAAAAAAAGAATCAAAATTAAAGGAGTCATATTCTTACTAAACATTTTTACTGCTGTTTTATATTTCAGTCTCTATCCTCATCTCTACTCAAGAGCATACATTAATTTTAGGAATCCTGATGATATTCTTCTGTTCAGAGATCGTTTTGATGGATATATCTTCATTGGCAATAAAGGTAAACCCTTTATCACAGTTTCTAAGTATATAATGAAGTTTTGCTGAGATATTTGTTAGTTTTAATTAAGAAGTCTTAGACACGTCTAAAGTAAGACCATAAATTTTAATTGTTACTATATCAAGTGCTTATATTAAAAATAGAGTATTGGACTGGGGGTGTGACTCAAGCAGTAGAGTGCTTGTCTAGCAAGCACAAGGTCCTGAGTTCAAACCCTAGTACTGCAAAAATAAATAAATAATAAATAATCAACCAAAGAATTCCAGAAATTTTGTGTGATAACTACAGGGTTGCACCATTATTAGAGTAGTTTTTCATCTGTGAGTTTTCTAGATAAGTGAACTTTACCTTTTTGTATTCCAGATCTAAATTATTTTACTCATGATTGATAGAAATGTTTTGAAATGTATTTTATACTTACAGCTATACCTTCCTAAAATTACTACTGTTCATAGTTGTACATTTCTTGATGATTTCCTGGGGGGGAGTTGTTTGAGGTTATGAACATCAGTCATTGACAGCATTGAGCAGTCTTGTCTGTGGGGAACAGGAGCTCCACTTTCCTATACATTCTGCATCTGCTCTGGTGCTTTTCTTTTTCCTTTTCTGTCAGACTGTCCTGTGTTACATTCTTTGCTGTCAAGTCTATAGACCTTTCACAGCAAGGTGTTTTCTGCCCCAGCCAGCCTCTTCCTACTCACAACCCCATATGAACCAGTGTTTCTTCCTCCTCCACTGAGGGGTAATAAACTAGAAAAGATTGTAAGTGACTAAGCTAAAAGCAAGTTTAATGCTCAAACTATTTGAAATTCATGTTGATTTCTCAGTACTTTATTCACCTGCCTTTTTCAAAAAATATTGGTAAAATATACATTAAAAAATTTACCATCTTTTCCTCTATTTTTTTTGTGGTTCTAGGAATTGAACTCATGGCATTGCACTTGCTAAGAGAGTGCTCTAATCACTTGAGCACTCAAGATTCAGGACTCCCTGAATCTTGCAAAAACTGAAACTTTACCATTAAACACTAACTCCCTATCCCTCCACTAGCTCTAGCAACCCCATTCTATGTTGTTTCTATTATATGAATTTGACTACTCTGCATATCTCCTATTAGTGAAATCACACAATTTTTGTCTTTGTGCCTGGCTTATTGCACTTAGTATGATGTCCTCCAGATTTGTCCATGTTATAGCATATTGCAGAATGCCCTTCCTTTCTAAAGATGAGTGACATTCTGTTGTGTGGATGTGTACACCACATTTTGCTCATCCATTCCTCAGTCTATGGACTCTTGGCTTGCTTTCAAGTTTCAGCTATCGTGAATATTGCTGTTATGAACATAGATGTACAAATTTGTCTTAGACCATGCTTTCAATTATTTTGGATATATGCCCACTACTGAGACTGTGGATCCTGTGGTAATTCTATTTTTAACTTTTTGGGGAATTGCCATACTGTTTTCCCCAGCAGCAGTACCATTTTGCATTTTCACCAACTGTGCACAAGAACCACAGTTGTTCTACACCTTCACCAACACTTGTTATTTTCTGCTTTGTTTTTTATAGTGGCCAGCCAGCCTACTGGGTTTAAGGTAATATTTCTTTGTGGTTTAGATTTGCATTTCTCTAATGATTATTGGTATAGAGCATCTTTTTATGTGCTTCTTGGCTACTTGTCACCATCTATTCACATCCTTTGTCCATTTCTTAATTGGGTCATTTTTTTGACCCATTGTTGAGTTGTAGTTTTCTATATTCTGGGTATTGACCTCTTTTCAGATGTATGATTTACGTAGATTGCCTTTTTATGCTGCTGATTTTGCCTGTCTTTCTTTTCTTTTCCTTTTTCATTTCTTCCTTTTTCCCTTTCTTTTCATCTTTTATTTCACTGGGAATTGAATCAAGGGCCTTGCACTTGCTAGAGGAGCTATGCCCCCAGCCCTTTTTGTTTTTACTTTGTTTTTGAGCCAGGGTCTTGCTAACTTTGCCTGGACTGGCCTCAAACTCACAATCCTGCCTCCACCTCCCAAGAAGCTGATATTACAGGCGTGAACCATCACACCTGGCTCAGCTGTATCTTTTGTTGCATGGAAGTTATTAATTGTGATGTAGAAAAGTAAAATTTGTTGTCATTTCCAAAAACTTGTGGCCAAATCTAAAGTCATAGAGCTTTTTCCTGTTTTTTTTCCCTAAGAATTATATAGTTTATAGACTTCATGTTTAGATTTGATCCATTTTTAGTTTATTTCCATATATGATGTTGGGTTAGAGTCCAATGTCATTCTTTTGCATGTGTAGATCAGTTTTCTCAGCACCATTTGATGAAGTGTCCATTCTTTCTTCTAGTCAAAAATTTTTTAATCATTGATCCCAGGGATTTTTCCCTGGCCCTCTCTTGTATTCCGTTGGTGCTTGTTTTTATGCCACCATTATGCTATTTTGAGTATTGCAGCTTTGTAGTGAGTTTTGAAATCAGGGAGCGTGAGCTTCCACTTAATAGGGATCTACCATGTTCCAGGCTTTGTGGGTGCAGCAGAGAATTGGTGTTGTCCTGCCAGTCCAGTGCTGTTTCCTTCCTCATTCTCGACTTTATTCTGGATAGTTGAGGTTAGCACAAAAATGTGTCCCAGATAAGTGAGAGTCATAATATCATAGCCACATGACTGTTACTGACATGATTCAAAATCACTGCTCAGTGGATTTGGTACCAAAGTGAAAGTATTCCATGTGTTGATCAAAAGCATAGCATATTCTCTCAGTAAATATTTCTATGTATTTGTTTACCCCTACATAACCACAAAATCAGTTTCTGTTGCTTCCATTCTTCACTTTTTTATTTGAAACACATATGTCCTTGAAACCCCATACACAGACACACACCTGTGAGCCCAGTAATTTCTTTGAACCTATATAACAGATTGATAATTGAATTAACCTTTTAAAATAAAAATGTAAGTGTAACTAAGAAACCTGACTTGGGTGGAGAGATTGGGCTTATTGAGGTGTAAAATGCACCCTTTTAAAGTGAGTTTAACGTTTTGAATGTGTTCAGTCTTGTAACCACTGCATAATAGGTCATTTTTTGTAATAAGGATTGCTCCTCCTGCCACCAGCTCATCCTCATACACATGTAAATCTGTAGTTGCCGTTATCACCATCATGCTTCATCCTTCAGTAAGTTAGATCTTATTTTCCAAGTGACCTCAGTAGAATTTCAGAATGATTTTTGGAATATATCTTGGTTAAAGGCCTTGAGTATCCTGCAGTGGTGGAGTTTGCCCCATTCCAGAAGATAGCCAAAAAGAAGCTGAAGAAAAAGGACACCAAGACTGGAAGCATCGAAGATGGTGAGCCTTTCCTTTGCAAGTGCTGATTGGAAACTGCCAGATTAAATGCACTGATCACATCTTGTTCGTCTCCTGTAGCTGAGGAAGAAGACATTTGTTTTGTTTTTGTGTTTTCTTTTTTAAACTTACAGATCCAGAATACAAGCAGTTTTTAGAATCTTACAGTGTGGAGGAAGAGAAAACCAGTGCCAGTCCTGAGATTCTTCTAGGGGAGATAGAAGCAAAGACAAGAGAACTCATTGGTCTGTTTTACTCATTTCTTCTCTTTTCTTTATTGAGATACTTTATGGAGTATATATCTAATTCTCCTTTTTCATGATTATGGTAAAGTTTCAATTTGTTACTGGCTTGGCAGGAATGTAGAATGTTGACATGGTAGGGAAGTACTTCTGTGCCTTTGTTAATGGAGAGTCATGGGTTTTAGTGGTTGCTTCCAGTGACATGTGGGAACTCTGTCTGACTGTGTCAGAGGTGCTTGTGTCACAGAGCTGTATCATGGGTCTTTGGAAAGAGCAGTTGTGGGTGGGCCTTCAGAGTCCGTAGAGATGACATAACTTGCTCAAATACAAAGCCACCTTTCTGCTGTTCAAAATAGTAGTAAGTCCCTTGATAAGCCAAACAAACCAGCATATGACTCAACCCAAGCACAGATTCTTTTTTGAATCCAGCCTTTGACTGTTCCCCAAAAGTGGTAGTCTTTTAGAAATGTCTGTTCTAGTAAGTCTCCAAAGCACTGGTGTATAGACAGGGAGTACTTCTATAACCACGTATGCTGCCTTGGTTTAGTCCTAGTAGTGTCTACTTTCCCTGCTGGTCTCACTCACTCAGTGCTAGAACTCTCCATAAGGCTCTGCCCCCTCCCAAAGGCTATGCCCTGCTCACCCTTTTAAGACTTGGGTGATTTAACAGTCACTGTTTATAACTGGTCTGTTGGTGTCCATTCTTGTAAACTCCCTTCTCAATTCATCTGCCGACTTCCCCAGTAGAACCATATTTTCATCTTTGTAAGTCACAGGATAGAGAAGTTTAGGATTAGGATTTATTTATTGAAAAATAGGCCAGAGGCTGGAGCTTTGTAGGAGTGGAATGTAAGCTTGCATGGTTGGAGAGGTGTGAGGAACACTGGTGTTAGCTGGGTATCTAGATAAGCAGCCTGGGTTCCTTCCACGGGGTTACATGAGCTGACTCATTTTTTCCCATCGTTGCTGCATCCATAGTGGTGATGCATGCCAGAAAAGGTGGGGCACTGTCTATCCCAGGGAGAGCTGCTCATTCTAGGCTGACAGGTGTAGCATATGTTTTGAAGGTCCAATAGAAAGGGAGGATGGATTGGTTGTGGGAAGTAAGGTACAAAAAGAACTGAAGATTCCAGAGGCTTGATGTGAGTAGATTAGGTTGATGGTGTCACCAGTACAGACATGGGGAAGGTGAGAAGAGACAGTTTTGGGAGCATGTCAAATTTAGGAAGATGTAGAAAAAGTAAATTAATATTTTTCAGAACTCATCTTCCTGCTCCCTGCTGTGTCTTTCTTGCTCTGTTTAAATGTCCCCTTGTACAGGGTCTGTGGTTTTGAAATATCCTCTTTGTGGGTCAGACTCTAGCTTCACAGGGCTTCTGCCCTTTCTCTCAGCTTGCAGCACCTCAGTCAGTGCCTGCTGCACAGTTCGTACTGCTTAAATGTGGCTCAAGGAGTGCCAGAGACTCAGGCTTCACCAGCCCTAATGTGAGTAGTTACTTAGTTCTAGGCTGGGCTGTGGGGCCTGCTTCTGTGGTTCTACCCTTTAAATTTGAATCCTCATCAGGCAATTCGTGGAAGTTGCCATTTTCTTTTCTTAGTCTCTGGCCTTCAGTAGAGTCTTAAGAACAAGTCTAAGAAGTAAGAGTTAAATGAAATTGTAATGAGCTTGTGTTGGTAGGAACATCAGAGTCCATGGACTCCCACAGATCAGAGTGGAACCCTGGCTTATTTGAGATGATTTGCCCATTATAAAAGGAAGATCCTCTGAACTCACCCTGAGCCAGAATATGTGGCCAACCCAGGCCACCCAGTGGGGAGAAATGGTTTTCCATAGTATAGCACCTGCCACAAAACATGGGTGTCTGATCCACATCTTTTCTTCCCAGAGCCAGGTCCTTTTTGATGTGTGAAATCAGGGAGTCAGGGGTCCTTAATTCTAACACACTGAGAGCCCTCCTATAAACACTGACTTAGTTTCTGATCCTCACAGTTCTTCAAATGCCATGCAGGTATCTGGTATTCTTCTCAGCCCATTCAGCTGGAGAGCTTAAAGGCTTGCAGAGAGTAGACTGAGACCATCTCCTTCCTACCATGTCCTCATGGTTGAGGACTGTGAAACTGGTCCCTCTTGGAGCTGGTCCCTCTGAGCAGCAGTGCTGTAGCCTGTGGTCCTCATGTTTGGGGGCCATGGAACCCATCTCTCCTAGATCTGTTTCCTCTGAGCAGCAGTGCTCAGGCCTGTGGTGTGCTTGAGATTGAGCCCAAGAGGTCAGGGCATGAAAGTGAGGCTGTAGAAATGTTCTTTCCATCAGTGGAATGGTACCTTTTTTACCAATAGTGCCATCTGGAGTATTTCCTAAACTGCAATCTTTAGAGTTTTATCTCATCCTGATTTTATGGATATCTCTATCTGAAATACTTAGGATCAGAAGTGTTTTGGATTTAGGACTGTTTTAGACTTTGGAATATCTGCATGTACAGAATGAGATATAATGGATCTAGGACTCAAGTCTGAACACACAGTTTACTTGTATTTCATGTATACTTTTAACGCATAGCCAGAAGGCACTTTTGTACGTCTGTAGCACACCTGTATTTTGACTGACCTGTCACATAAAGTCAGGTGTGAAATTTTCCACTTGTGGTGTCATGTCAGTGCTCAAAAATTCTAGGTTTTGGAGCATTTTAGATTTTTGGATTAGGGATGCTCACCCTGTGTTATAAGAAATTACAAGAATCCTCATTGCTTATTATCTATAAAGCAGTAAAGGAAGAAATTCCCAGAATGTGTGTGGAATGAAAATGAATTATGAATGTGTTATTTAATGATGTCTGCAGAAGGCGATATGATCCTATACCTTGAAGACCCAAAAAACTCAACTCAGAAGCTCCTAGACACCATCAACAGCTATAGCAAGGAAGCAGGATATAAAATCAACATAGAAAAATCATTAGCATTTCTATACACTAATAATGAACAAACTGAGGAAGAATATATAAAAACAATTCCATTTACAATAGCCTCAAAAAAATCAAATACCTAGGTGTAAACTTAACAAAGGATGTGAATGACCTCTACAAAGAAAACTAAACTTCTGAAAAAAGAGATTGAGGAAGACTATAGAAAGTGGAGAGATCTCCCATGTTCATGGATTGGTAGAATTAACATAGTAAAAATGTCTATACTCCCAAAAGTAATCTACATGTTTAATGCAATTCCCATCAAAATCCCAATGACATTCATCAAAGACATTGAAAAATCTACCATTAAATTTATATGGAAACACAAGAGGCCACGAATAGCCAAGGCAATACTCAGTAAAAAGAACAACTCTGGAGGTATCACGATACCTGACTTCAAACTATATTACAAAGCAATAACAATAAAAACAACATGGTACTGGCACAAAAACAGACATGAAGACCAGTGGAACAGAATAGAGGACCCAGATATGAAGCCACACAACTATAACCAACTTGTCTCTTTGACAAAGGAGCTAAAAATATACGATGGAGAAATGACAGTCTCTTCAACAAAAACTGCTGGGAAAACTGGTTAGCAGTCTGCAAAAAACTGAAACTAGATCCATGTTTATCACCCTATACCAATATTAACTCAAAATAGATCAAGGATCTTAATATCAGACACCAAACTCTAAAGTTGTTATAGGAAAGAGTAGGAAATACTTTGGAACTAATAGGTATAGGCAAGAACTTTCCCAGTGGAACCCCAGCAGCTCAGTAACTAAGAGATAGCATAGATAAATGGGACTTCCTAAAATTATAAAGCTTCTGCTCAACAAAAGAAATGGTCTCTAAACTGAAGAGACCACCCACAGAGTGGGAGAAAATATTTGCCAGCTACACGTCAGACAAAGGACTGATAACCAGAATATATAGGGAAGGAAGTATCACGATACCTGACTTCAAACGTATATTAAACCAAAGCAATAACAATAAAAAAACAAACAGGGTACTGGCACAAAAACAGACATTGAAAACCATGGGAACAGAATAGAGACCCCAAAGATATGAAGCCACACAAACTATAACCAAACTTGTCTTCTTTGACAAAGGAAGCTAAAAAACTATACGATGGAGGAAATGACAGTCTCTTCCAACAAAAAACCGTGTGGGAAAACTGGTTAGCAGTCTGCAAAAAACTGAAACTAGATCCATGTTATCACCCTATACCAATATTAACTCAAAATAGATCAAGGATCTTAATATCAGACACCCAAAACTCTAAAGTTGTTATAGGAAAGAGTAGGAAATACTTTGGAACAATAGGTATAGGCAAGAACTTTCCCAGTGGAACCCCAGCAGCTCAGTAACTAAGAGATAGCATAGATAAATGGGACTTCCTAAAAATTATAAAGCTTCTGCTCACAAAAGAAATGGTCTCTAAACTGAAGAGACCAACCCACAGAGTGGGAGAAAATATTTGCCAGCTACCGTCAGACAAGGACTGATAACCAAAATATAGGGAACTAAAAAAATAATTCTCCCAAAACTAATGAACCAATAAAGAAATGGGCAAGTGAACTAAACAGAACTTTCCTCAAAAGAGAAATTCAAATGGCTAAAAACACATGAAAAAAATGCTCACCATCTCTAGCAATAAAGGAAATGCAAATTAAAACCACACTAAGATTCCACCTCACCCTGTTAGAATAGCCATCATAGCAACACCACTAACAACAGGTGTTGGCGGAGAGATGGGGAAAAAGGAACCTTCTTACACTGTTGGTGGAATGTAAACTGGTACAACCACTCTGGAAAAAATTGGAGTACTTAAAAAGCCTAAACATTGATCACCATATGATCCAGCAATACCACTCTTGGGGATATACCCAAAAGACTGTGACACAGGTACTCCAGAGGCACTGCACACCCATGTTATTGCGGCACTATTCACAATAGCCAAGTTATGGAAAGAGCCAAGATGCCCCACACTGACGAATGGATTAAGAAAATGTGGTATTATACACAATGGAATTTTATGCAGCCATGAAGAAGAATGAAATGTTATCATTGCTGGTAAATGGATGGAATTGGAGAACATCATTCTGAGTGAGGTTAGCCTGGCCCAAAAGACCAAAAATCTATGTTCTCCCTCATATGTGGACATTAGATCAAGGGCAAACACAAACAAGGGGATTGGATTTGAGCACATGATAAAGCAAGAACACACAAGGGAGGTATGAGGATAGGTAAGACACCTAAAAAACTAAATAGCATTTGTTGCCCTCAATGCAGAGAAACTAAAGCAGATACTTTAAAGCGACAGAGGCCAATAGGAGAGGGGGACCAGGAACTAGAGAAAAGGTTAGTTCGAGAAGAATTAACTTACAAGGTAACACATATGTACAGGAAATTAATGTGAGTCAACTCCCTGTATAGCTATCCTTATCTCAACTAACAAAACCCTTGGTCCTTCCTATTACTGCTTATACTCCCTCTTCAACAAAATTAGAGATAAGGGCAAAATAGTTTCTGCCTGGTAGCAAGGGGGTGGGGAAGAGATGGAGGGGGTAGGGGGGTAAAGGAGGGGGCGGGGGGAAGGGGGGAGAAATGACCCAAACATTGTACGCACATATGAATAAAATTTTAAAAATGATGTCTGCAGAAGTTTTTTAGGGATATTCATAACATTTGAGTAGGTTAACACATTTATGTGAGTAATAATTATGACTCTTCTTGAATCAAGAATTACATGTCTACTCTGTGCAAAATTGTTGGTACCTCCATATTACTAGAGTTTATAGTAATGGGATAAGAACTCCCCTGAATAACAGTGCATGCCCATGTAAACTTAAAAAATAATATTCTTCCCCTAAATATTTTAAGGATTAAATGAAAACAATTATTTAAAGCGAATCTCATTTTAGAAGTTGCATATACTATCTTACAATTTTTGTGTTTTAGCTAGAAGAACCACACCTCTTTTGGAATATATTAAAAATAGAAAATTAGAAAAGCAGGTAAGTCTGGCATTTTATCTGGTAAATATCCTCCCCATGAGTGATAATTCTGCCAGAAAATTTATACATGTGCTTATCCATACCTTTAGAGAATTCGAGAAGAAAAGCGAGAAGAACGGAGGAGGAGGGAATTAGAGAAGAAACGCTTGCGGGAAGAAGAAAAACGAAAAAGAAAAGAAGAAGAAAGATGCAGAAGAACAGAAGCAGATAACCAAAAGAAAAACAGAGAAAGAAGTAAGGATTAAGGTAATTTTGATGAGACATTTTTCCTCCCAAAATAATTCTCCCTAATAATTATGCTTTTAGGTATTGTAGCTCTTTAGAATTTTAAAAGCATTTTCAATCTATTATTATTATAGTTCCTGTGTTCCCCAGGAGTCCAGGGGTTCCTTGGGAAAACTATGTGGACCAAGGTGGGTGGAAGGCAAAGGGACTTTTAACCTTCTGATGTGAAATGGGGCACATCACCCCCGAAGATTTTCCCAACTGAAAAATACAGATCTGAAAAGCACTGGCTCAGCCTGCCTGTGTACTGCCTCAGAACTGGGCTCAGCATTCCTTGGTGACAGCAGGCCTTAGGTTTGTTTTCTCTTGCCCAACCTCTGTGACTGATACATGAACACATGTATCAGTCACATGCATCGAGGGGATTTTTCTTTGTGTAACACATATTGGCCAGAATTGGAATCAGCCCTTATCTTCTTAAAACCGTAGTAAGCCTAAACTTCACCCCAGTGTGATTTCACCTCAGAAACAGGAAACTTGATTAGAAACATGCTTCTTATTTTTCTATGAGAAGTAAACAAAGCAGTGGAACTTCCTTTGGGACTTTGCTGTGAAATAATCTCTCCCACAGGGACACTAGTGATGGAGAGGACAGTTTCTTCACAATATCCCACAGAAGTGCACCACTGTCAATCAGCCAGGACTGGTAGCTTATGTTGCAGTAACAGAGAGTCCCCAAATCTTACTGGCTCAACCTGACCAAAGTGCATTTCTTGTCATGTGTGTCCATATCCTTTGGCAGGTGGTGTGTTGCTCGTGGTAAGCTCCTCTCAGTGACCTGAGATGATGAAGGTTCCTTTTTGTCTCCACCATCTTTAGGATGGGAAAGAAATGTGCAATATGGCAAACTGCACATGAGTTCTTTTTTTTTGTTTGTTTCATATCTTGGCTATTTTATTTTATTATTCATATGTGCATACAAGGCTTGGGTCATTTCTCCCCCCTGCCCCCACCCCCTCCCTTACCACCCACTCCGCCCCCTCCCTCTCCCCCCTACCCCCTCAATACCCAGCAGAAACTATTTTGCCCTTATCTCTAATTTTGTTGAAGAGAGAGTATAAGTAATAATAGGAAGGAACAAGTGTTTTTGCTGGTTGAGATAAGGATAGCTATACAGGGAGTTGACTCACATTAATTTCCTGTGGTGTGTGTTACCTTCTAGGTTAATTCTTTTTGATCTGACCTTTTCTTCTGGTTCTTGGTCCCCTTTTCCTATTGGCCTCAGTTGCTTTAAGGTATCTGCTTTAGTTTCTCTGCGTTAAGGGCAACAAATGCTAGCTAATTTTTTAGGTGTCTTACTGCACATGAGTTCTTAAAGTTTCCACATGGAGGTCATCTGTATTACCTCTGCCCACATCTCAGTGACCAGAACAAGTTCCATGGCCCCCTTAAATTCAGAAGGAAAGACTGAAACATCTGATGAATAACACCAGGACCAGCATAACTGCTGAAGACTTTCTTAAACTGTCTCTTAAAGCTTATGGGCATTTGTGCAAAATACATTTCTTGGAGGCAATGAGGCAGGAGCCCCTCAATGTTATTCAAGCATTGTTTCAACAATAAAAGTAGGTCACAAGGTGGTCAGGTCAACCATTTGTCCCCAGACACTACCTGTCATAGTTTCTTTTACATTGACTTGAATCAGAATTGGGTGCAGAGCTTTGTTGTTTAAAAATTGCATAATTTGATCATAGCATTGATGAAATTGAAGAACCCAACCAAGACTGTAAGGACAAGGTAGGTAAGGGGGAAGCAGGGCTCTTCCTTGGGAAGCCACTCAGAGCAGTGTTTTCTGTTTGTCCATGCTTGTGAAGTGGACAAACATCACTCTCCATAGCACAGTTGTTATTTCCTATAACAAACAATCCCTTGGAAAAAAGTTAATGAAATAAATATTAATAGGGAGATCTTGGCCGTTACATAAATGCAACTCTGAGCCAGGTGTTCACATCTCTAATCCCCATACTTGAGCGGCAGAGGGAGGGAGGGAATCAAGTCTGTCATACTCAGCATGCATTTTGTAAATCTTATCACAGGTGTAAAGAACACTAGCTAACCTGTTGCCTAAAACTTTGCGTTCTCAAGATCTCTTTTGTCAACAGCCTTTTCCTGAAGGATTTTTGGAAAGAACCACTGAAACTTGTAGCCTGTAAATTTCAATTTAATTTTAAGTACTACTTGAAGTATTGGAGTGTAGCATTTTATTTTTACCTTTTTTAGTATGAGATTAGAATCCAAAATTAGCCAAAGAAAGAAAAGAAACTTAAAATCAATACAAGTAAATCAAGAATCTTTCATATTGAATAAAGAAATGAGAACATAAAGTCCACAAGAGGAAGAGTTGGTCTGGTCAAACCTGTAGAACAAATCCTCAGACCTCCATCCTCATGTGGTAGCCAAACAGGACATGTGAAACTGAGGTCATCTGACCTCTTGTTAACCTTTACTAAGCATCAGTGCTCAATTTCAGAATTTCTGTCTTATAAATCATTTGGAGGATTTAAATTTTTTAAAAACATGAAAAAATAAAAATGTCAAAAGATGTTGTGTCAACAGCCTAAGGATGAAGAGGAAGAGAGTTACCATTAACAACAAAGACTTGCCACATGTGGATGACAACCCAGTGGTTTGCATTGCTTTGAGGACTCTGAAACTAAACAGGGACCTTAAGTAGGATGTTGGGTTACTAAAGTTACAAACAAAACTCCTATAATTATAAATGACAGGCTACAGGTAGCTGGGAAAATTGTATGATCCTGTTCATGAAATTCATGTGTGTGAGCACTCACATGTGTGTGTATGATTAGGTTGTACTTATGTAGGGTAAATGCAGACGAGCACATGTGTGGCCTGCTTACATGTATGAGCATCAACACACACATGGGCTGGACAGGAACACATCTGACTGTGAACAGTTCTTGGTCTCTAAGGCCTCTTGGGTCTGTGCAAACCTCTCCATTGTCTCCTGTCTCCCCTGGCTCACCTGCTTCTGCTCTTGTTCACCTAGTCTTTCCTAAATAACACAGGCTGCTTCTGCTTCTCTCCCCAGCTCCACCTATGGTTCCTCCTCATCTGGGATCAGTTTTCGTCTCCACAGAATCCCCCAGTTCCTCTTTCCTTTGCCCCATGTCTCTCTACTTTTCTCTGGTTTACTTGTGTTTGTAGTATTCCTAAGCTTATCCTGTTCATCCCCCACCCTCCCATGACCACCATTTCCTTGGCCAGATTGTCACTTGTGTATGTATCTTTCCACCCAAGGAGATGTCAGTCTTGCCCACAGCCATGTTCCTAGTGACCATTCAGGGTCTTGGTCCTTGTTTCCTGGCACACAGCTGAGATCTTTGGGACTTGTAGAAATGAGTGTCTTACATGGCAGTGAGGGGGCAGTGGGACCCTGGACAGCACTGGGCTGGGTACTGGTTGCCAGAAAGTCCAAGGGAGGGATCAGAGGGTTGGGACTTTCAGCTCAACCCATAGCTCCCAGAGGGCTGGGGACTAAGTTGGTCACCAGTGGCCAATGACCTACCTACTTAATCGTGCCCATGCTAATTCTGGAGGTGATGAAACCCTCCAGAAAGATGCCTTAGGCAGGGCTTCCAAGCTGCTGAACACGTGGAGGTGCTTGCTGGGGGGGTAGCATGTGGGTTAAGCACAGGAGCTCTGAGCCTTGTGCCCCATGCACCATACCTTGCCCTACTATCTTTTCTGTTGGCTCTTCTTACTTTTTTTTTTGGTGGTACTGGGGTTTGAACTCAGGTCCTTGTGTTTACTAGGCAGGCACTCTACCATTTGAGCCATTCCACCAGCCCTCTATTGGCTCTTAAGTTGTACTCTTCACAATAAACCATTAAGAGAAAGTAATATGTGTTCTTAAGTTCTGTAATCCATTCTAGCAAATTATCAATCCTGAGGGGCTCAGGGAACCCTGTCATAGGCACCAGTGACAACATGAGCCTTGGCAACTGGCAGAGGAGTGGGCAGACTTGGGACTGAACATTTCACTTATGGGATCTGACACAGACCCAGGTAGATGGTGTCAGAACTGAATAGAAACAGTTTATGTGCACAAAATTATTTGTTGATGAGTATATGTGTGGAAACTGTTTTACTTTCTTAGGGCTTGAATTTTGTACAAACTTACTGCTACTATAGCAATTTTTAAAAAGATAAACAGTTCTCCCAAAGGCAACTTTCAAGGTCATGGCTCTGTACAGGCAGGATCAGAGTGAGAGGGTATACACTGACTAATGTGGAGCGAACATTTGATGAGAACAGCTCTTTTTACTTGCCTTACGTTATCTATTTCATCTTACGTGAACTCACTTAATTGAATGTATCTCTGTATACTTTGCAGTGCAATGAAAATATGTTCACTTTTATGAATGAGAACAAAATTCTTAGAAGAACACACCCTACTTCTGTTGTTCAAATGAGTTTCTGTGGTTCTAGAGTTTCAGAGGGTGTGCCACATATAGGCCCAGGAGGAGACCCAGAGCAGACTGTCATAATGGCTTGGTAATTCTGTCAAAAAAGAGAAAAATGTTTTTGAAAACTATAAAACTATTCTAGAAGTCATCAATACAAAGCAATCTTTTAAAATGGGTTTCCCCTCATTACAATAGTAGTATTTGTTTATTCTGGAAGAACTAGCACCCACAGATGGGGGAGTCATCTCAGTTCTGCCACTGAGGGAGTACCTTGCCCCACAGCGTTGCAGAGCATCCTTAGTGGCTTCAGAATGTGTGCAGCCATGCCCCATGTGATGACTGTGCAATGCTTTTGCACAGTTCTGAACAAAGTACCTGAGAAAAATGATGTAAAGGTTGGAAAGATGTATTTTGGCTTATGGTTTCAGAGGTTTCAGTCCACAGCTCTATTGATTCTAGGCCCATGGTGAGGCACAGAACACTGGGAGTATCTGGCAGAAGCTAGGGGTAGAGCAAGATAATAGCCCCCAAGGATCTGTTCCCAGCTAGGCGCCACCTCCTAAAGTTTACAGAACCTCCCAAAATAGTACCATCTGGGCAACAAGCATTCAGTGTAAGAGCCTGTTCAGACCATGACAGTGACCTTGAGATTATCTCCCCTAATGACTTTATGTAAAGGTGCTTTGGTGTTGGTACAAGGACAAAATCAGTGATCACATTTCTCAGAATGTAGAATGTAGCCGCATTGTCAAGTATGGTGTGCACTAACGATGTAAATTGAAATCAGTATATTGCACATTGGTTTTGTAACCTTTTATTCACTGACACGAACATCATTACATCAATGATCCTACTTCATTTTTTATAACGACAAAGATTTCATTGAATGTTTCACTATGTCTTTAGCCAAAAAAATGTGTTTGGACCTGTAGCTTAATTTTGCTGTTCAAACATTTGTGCTGTGTATTGATACATATTTTTAACCATTTAACTTCTTTTATAATGTGCTTTTGAGTAATATTTTACTAATTACAATTTCTCAGCTTCTTAAGAAACCAGAAAAGGGAGAGGACCCAACCACAGAGAAACCAAAAGCAAGACTTCAGGAAGTTGGTATTGGAGATGAAAAGCTGGAACCACTCCTGCGCCGCCCTGAAAGCCTGGCCTGTGGAGAGCCTGCAGAGGTGCCCAGGAGAAGGGAGCATGCCCTTGTTTCTACGACCTTTTTGCATAATCAGGCGTCAATATGAGTGTATAGACCTCATGTTAGTCTTGGACTCTGGTTATTATCAAGGGTATGCTGGCACATTTGGTTTTAAACCCATTGGTCATGCCAGGACCTTAGAAAATGTTGAGTTTGCAGTCACATCTGTCTTCAAATCAGGAAAATCCCCTCTGTTATCTACTTAACTGTTGCTTTTCTGTCCTCTCCCTTTTCCTTTGTGAGAATTCCCTGTCCCAGCTCCCCTTCCTGCACTGAGGTCTCTAGAGTCTGCCTTCCTGGTCTCTTCCTGCATGATAATTTCAGGTTTGTCATTTTCCTCTCTGTCTTGAGATTTTGTACCCATTTGCTTTTATGGCCCTCCTGGAGTTTATCTACAATTAAATTTCAATTATTTAGAATTGCAGTTTTCAGAGCTCAGTTTGTTTTTAGTGCTGGTCAGGTTTTAAGTGCTATGATCCTTCTCAGTCCTGCCATCCCCTGGTCTGGCCTCTTTCTTTCCCTTTACCTGTTTATGGGGTGGTTCTAGTGAGGGAGCTTACTGGTAAAAGGGGCAGACACAGCCACTTCCCAGTCACCCCACCCACCAGACTTGCTTAACTCAGAGCTTCTGTTTCTTGCAGCATTGTCAACTCCATGATCAACATTTGTGCTGAGTGTTTTTGGTGTTATTATTTATGGTATAGCAGTGCCTGCTTCCATCTCTGGCATGAAGTTCTCACTGTTTCCACCACCTGCCATCCATGTGGACAGGCCCCAGATGGGTTTTTTTTTTTTTGAACCCATGGCTTCCAAAGGCAAAGACTTCAGGAATCAAATGAACTAAGCAGCCAATTCATTTATGTTTAGATGTATGTCTAAATCCATCTGGCATTATTAAACTTCAGTTAACTTGGCTGTGGCTGGAGCAGAAATCAAGTTGTCAGCGGTACAATATAGTGGACATTTCTGCGTGTCTAGGAACATCTCTCGTTTAGCTCATCCATAAAAGGGGAATTGTATTTGTTTGGAAGGGTTTGAGAATTGGAACAATGTATGTATAAAATACCTTAGCATAACATTATTAGGTGTCAAGTATAATAGCATACATTGTTATTACTATTTGTTCACCTTTTCATTGGTTTGTATTGAATGCTTGCTGTGAGCCTATCACCACCAAACTTGGCAACTCAGTGATGGGCTCAATTCCAGCGTTCTCCACTTGGAGTCTAGGAGAAAGACAGGTAATCAACAAGCCTTTTATGTGTAGCCGTTGGTCATTTGACTCACAGGTCCAGGATGGCAGTTACAAGATCAAAGGCAGAAAGCACAGCACACACTCCAAGCTTGCCAGGCTTTCCAGAAGGAAAGAGGACAATCCATAATGGGAGAAGGACACACTCAAAAATGAGGAAGTAGGCAGCCAGGATGAGAGTGCTCTGTGGAGACAGCAAAGAGGAGGCAAGGAGCACAAGGGGATGATGGCCTGGAACCCAGAGAGGAGTGCCTGGGAAACAAGACTCAGTAGTCACCATCAGTCTGCACCAAAAGTGTACACTGCTTCACAGTCTCATGAAAATCTGCCTTGCTGGCCAGAGGGCCAAAGTTTTACTCTGCCTGTGTTAGGTTAGATCTCACTTTGAGGGTCACTATCTTCTAGAGCATTCTGCTCCCCCAGTGCACATCAAGCCTGGAAGTAAACCCAGAATGAAATGTACCATTCCCATCTCTCAGAGAACCACATTGCTTTTCATCAGGAAAAGGGTTTGCTTAATGTAAAACTAGACCTTTATACCATTTACTTGAGAATGAGGTTGTAAGGTTGACATAAGGTAGTAAGGGAAATACTAATTTCAGCCCCTGGAGCTTTCTTCCACATTATTGGCACATAAACAGTTCCACAGCCTGTGGGTCAGTTCTAATCAAGCGTGAACACAGTGATGGGGATTCCTTTCAGCCCAGCTTCTCCCAGAGAAGCATGGGTGGCACTGTTACTGGAAGGTCCAGGCTGCTTGCCCTCTGAAACCAGTATTTGGGAGCTGAGAGTTGGTGGGAAGCAATCCAAGAACACTAGAAGACTCAAGGGGCTATCGTCCTCAACTCCATCTTAGGGAACTTGGGCACAAAGGGCTTTTATAGGGAGGGAAAGAAGGTGCAATAGGCAGGAAATCTACTGGCAAGTGGGATCTTCCTCATGCAGGGCCTGTGTTTCCCACCCTCACCCTCCACCCCTGTGGCTAGAATGTCTCAATGGACCTCGACTTCCTGGGGCTAATTCCTATATTTTAGACAGACAATGCTTTCCTGCATTCAACCTCACAGCAATTTACGTGCTTTGTGTTAGTCTACACACAGAATCAAAGACTAAGGAGGAACATTAGTATGTTCTGATGTTGTCTGAGGGTCACCAAATGTTCTGGGTTCTGAAAATCTAAAGAAAGATTATTTAGGTGATGCTTCTTAAGATTTAGGATGTCGGGTGAAGGGAAGCCAGTCTACCAAGGACACCTCACTCCTGGGGCCAGGCCCCATGCGCAGACTTGTCAGGCTTGTCCTGCCTTTGTGATTTGGACAGTTTGAGAATAAATAGGTAGGAACACTGTGTGACCTTTGACACTGCCTCCCTTCAGGTCCATCCAAGGAGCTGTGCATCAGTGATGTTCATTTTTAATGCTTCCAAGGAAAGGCCAGGTAGCCTAGAGCAGTTGGCTGATAAACTCTTCAGTGCCCCAGAGATTCTTGTGGCCCCCAGGGGTACCAGCCATGGTCTGTGTGGGAGTTGTGTTTGCATGACCCCTTCCCTCTGCACAACTGCAGTGGGATAACTTGGGCGTTTGTGTGACTGTAGTGGGGCTCACCAGGACTGCACTCTCACTTTCTGATTACATTGCTCTGTGGGGGAGACTCTGATGTAACACCCAGCAAGTGTGCTTTTAGACTTTGTTCTCTTGTTTATGCACACAATTGTTCCCATAGGGAGGGCAAGGCTGTGCACGTTGGCTACACAGTTCTGGTGTCTGCCTCAAGGATTCAGAGAAGGGCCCTAAGCCTTCTCCACTCTTGTCATGTGCCAAGCTTCTCTGAAAGGAAAGAAAATAGTCTGGACTCTGATGGGGTCTGCCTACAGGCCATCCTTGCAGGAAGGATACTAGGGAGGGAGCCTGCTGGCAGGCTGTCAGCTGCCAGGGAACCAGGATCTGACTGCCTCTGCTACTCCTTCAGGGCAGGTAAAGCTGCCCGGTCTTTCCAGAGATGACTGTACCAGTGCTTCTGGTCCATCCAACAATCACTGCTATTCTGACTGATGCTTTTTGTGTCCTTATTCAGTTGTTTTTAATCCTCCACCTGCAGTTCAGTAAAACGACGGGTCAGTGTTTTCTGTGAAGGGACAGCTCAGTTTCCTATTGCCAGACATGAGGCAAGCAGAGTTGTTCCTCATTCCAGGATGCCCGCAAGTACCAAAGTCCACAAATGCTAAGTCTATTAAATACAGCAGCACAGTATTTGCATGGAACCTACACGCTCCACACACACCCATTCCCCCTCCCCTGCTGTATACTTTAAATCATTTCTGGATTACTTATACAATGAAAATGCTATGTAAGTAGTTGTGAGTGTAGTTTACTGAATAATGACAAAAACGTCTACATTTCCCACCTATTTTTCATCTGCAGTGAGTTGAATCTACAGATGCAGAGGTAGACTGTAAGCCATGTGGAAATGTTTATTACTAGCATTAATAGCTGTTTAAGTTCTTGGATCTAAAGGGCCTCTCTGGGTATCTGTACCTTGTTGGTTTCCAGCCTCGGGTTCACCCTGGGGCCTAGGTTTCATCCCATGCCTCCTGTCATGCTGCGACCACAGGCTTCTTGATTTGAGTGGTGGCATTTCCCAGATTTTTACTTTTATTTTCCTTTAAGTTATTTTAAATACCAGCATTCTTCTCTTCTTGGCTTTGTCTCTTGCCTCAGAATGCCTGTCTTCTGGGATAGTGAAAAGGGATGATTCTTAGCTGCAAAATTGATTTTCTTTAGGGAGGTTGCATCATGGGTCCTGGAAGCACAGACACTTTGGCCCTCCTGAGTGGCCAGCCCTTCTGTCCTGCAGGGTCAGCTGGCTTACAGCTGTGACAGCCAGGAGCTTGCCTCTGAGCCTATGTGTGGCAGGGGCCCATAAGGGGCCGTAGACTGAGCAGTGGTGAGGGACAGTAGCCACCAGCAGCAAGTCCCAGGAAAGGGTCTGGAGAGGAACGAATGTCCCTACAGCGTGGCCTGAATACCATTAGAAACACAGAGGTATCCACATCTTTCCCAAGGTGTGGAAACTACAGATCTGCCTTGGAAAACAAGTGATCTTTTCAAACAATAGAATTTTCATAGATTTTGCCTTTCCTGATATTTATCATTTAGCTAAAACAGAAAGTGATATCCACTGGAAAGAAGAGAAGTATAAATAAGCCTGGAAAAAATTTATACTGCATCTGATTTTTAAATGGCAGGGTTTGAACTCAGGACTTCATGCTTGCTAGGCAGGCATTGAGCCACTCTGCTACCCCTTTTTTTTTGTATTTTCAAGATAGGGTCTTGCCAGCTATTTGTCCAGGCTTTCAAACCACAATCCTCCAGAGTAGCTAGGATTACAGGCATGAGCCACTGGCACGTAGCTGCATATTGTGAATTCTGAAATCCTTTCAGTGTTTGCAAGAGTGGCACTCACTGTAGGTTTTATACAAGCGTGGTGTGCAGGTGTACTTCTTGCTGGTCACTTCTGGGCACACTACCAACACAGCCCCATAACTCAGCCACTTCTGCCAAGTCTGATGCTCAGTCAGTTCAACTCTCCACCCACCACCACCAGCCTTCATTGTTGCTGCTTGGACAGTTTGCCTGCTGCCTGGATGAAAATGGTTTCCCATCTTTGGACAGATGTGCTATGGTTTGTAACCATTGGGTTTATTAGGAACAGGACACTCCAGGAACAGCATATAGAACCTATCTTTGAGTCATTGGCACTTTTAATGTACTCTCAGAAACTACGCATTCTACAGTGTTTCAGTGAAAATTTTAAATGTTAATATATTTTTGGTAGCACACTCTGAACCACTTACTAAATAAAAATTTGTTGTGGTGGTACATGTCTGTAATCCCAGTACTCAGGAGGTGGAGGCAAGAGAGTCACAAGTTCAAGTCCAGCCTGGGCTACGTAACAAGAGTCTGCCTCAAAAAAATTATTTTATTGGTATTATGGATTTTGTCTTAAAGTTCTGATACTTTTTCTACATAGAATTTTACATAATACTTCTTTTTAAAATGTGGCTTCAAGTATCTGAGGTTTTGTTGAGAAGGCTTTTCTGTTTTCATCTCTAGTGTTGAATTGTCATTTCAGTGTTGGTTCAGCTGTGATGAGTAACATGGCATTTCCTCATCCTCTAGATATGATGGAATTCATACCCAAGCCCTTGGTTTCCTATCCTTTTCTTCCCATCTTTAAAACAAGGGGCTTGGAGGTGTGGCCCAAGAGATAGGTGCCTGCCTAGCCATTGTGAAGGCCTGAGTTCAAACCCCAGTACTGCCAAAAAAACAAACAAAAAAACCCACAAAAACTAAGGCTGTATCAGAGAGTAAATGGAGAATTAAATCGGTGTTTCATCTATATGATCTTTGTTAATAGATTAACAGTAAACAAAAATGAAAGAAAAGTTTTATTTTCAGAACAATATTCTAGAGTCAAGAGGGATTTTTTCCAAACAAACTATTCTAGTTTATTACAGCCATAATTGCTTCAACTCAGTCTCAGATATAGGTGAGGACTAATGGTAGTGACATATGAAATTTTAGTTTCAATCTTTATCTTTTTATCTTGTCACTTCAGTGGAATTCAGAAGAATGCCGACTGCCTTCTCTTGGTCAGTTTCTGCTGGGCTGCACTTTGATGGAAAGCTAGCAGCTTCTTGTATGTGGTCACCCCTATCTTCTTGGTGTCTACTATAAGGATGCGTTTCTCCTGTAAGGTTCTAAATTTCTCCCAGAACTCTTCACTGTTACACATCTAAAAGAAAGACAACCATGTAAGTAACCTTTATCACAAAAGGGACACAAATGTCTTGGTCGATGTAAACACAGTTGTCCTGGTATTGAAGGAATGGCATGTCCATGATAACAGTCTTTTGGTAATTTTAAATTACTCTTAAGTAGAAGAAGTTACGGTGGCTAGTTGAGAGCAGTCTGCCATGTGTGACTGTTCCTGGCGCACAGTCACAGGTGGTCACCATCTACATCACTAGGTTCATACTTCCCAGGACCAGGGCAGGAATCATGTTCAGGCTGGGGTCTTTCCTGGGGTCTACAAGCTCAGGTAGCTGTCATGTTTCCAGCCTCCTCTCACTGTCAGCCTCAGATTCCACAGCCCCAACTCCTTCCAGTCACACATGGCCCTCAGAGAGGCCTCCTCTGTCCCCAGGTTAGACCAGGATCATCTCATTAAAGCTTTCCTTGTTTATTATATATGGGACATCAGACTTGTCTGCATAGCCTGCACACTAGTAAACTCCATGAAAGTGGGTCCTAAGTTTGTCATTAGGTGTGTTCAGGGCATGCCCAGTGCCTGGCCTGTAGGGGAACTGGGTGATAAGATGGAAGAAGGAGTAAAAAGATAGTACCATGAAATTTACCAGGCAAAGTTTGTAAGCCAACATTTATCTTAGAAATAAAATGTTTTTTGACTAGAATTTTTGACTAGCTGGATGCTTTTAGTTATGTAATTTGGTTTTGAAGCCACTTAAACCTTGGGGAAGTATTTTTTAAAATATTCAAGCTTATAGGAAAAATGTTGGCAGGAAATATGTCACAACTTAATAGCAATTGAGGGCGGGAGTGAGATGATTTTTAATTCTTTTTCTCTGTCTTCCTTCAATTTGAAGCAACAGCTATAAGAGAGAGAGAGAGACATTACTTCTCTTTCCAAATAGATTTGTAACCTAGGCATTACCAAAGGAAGACATGTGGCTGAAATAGTAAGCATAAAATGAGAAATGTAGGGGGAATTCAAGTATGAAATACTGTCAGATACATTGTCAGCTACATATTATATATAACAATATTGTAGGATACATTGTCAGAACTTTTGTAAATGCCACAATATACCCCATCCAGCACAACAATAAAAAATAAAAAGAAAGGTAAAACATAAAATAAAATGAGGCTTGTGAGAACTTTCTCTTTCCCCAGAGATCTCCGTTACATGTTGGGGGATGGAGA